TTTAATAGCAATTTTAGACACTAGAGCAAGAATGGAGCAAGTGTTAGAGTTGGAGAAACCTCAGGTCACACAGTAAATAAGCAGCAGGGTCAGGATTACAACACAGGCCTTCTAGTTCCCGGGCCAGCTCGTTCCACCACAGCTCCAGTGAGCTGGCTTGCTTCTCCGCTCTTCATTTTATGCCATTTCACTGAGTTCATCTCTGGATTCACACACTGCTGCTCTTTCCACAACCAATCCCAAAGCAGAATCAGCTCGACAATAATCTCAGCAGGCTGAACTATAATCCCTAAATTGTACTCTATATTATTTGTGCATATATTAAGAATTGTAATGGGATACAATTGAAACAGAATCCAAGTTTGGCTTCTTTGTGTATTTAATCCCACAACTGTGTTATAGTATCACCCAAGTTTGGATACTTTCAGTACTGATTATTTGGTTTCTTAACTAGAATCATGGCATTTCAGAGATGGCTAGTCCACAGTGCTCTTAAGTTATCATTATTAATTTTTTAAAAAAAATAAAGCTACAGGTAACCTGGAAGCCAAATACATTGTTTTAAATTTTTTTCTTTTACTGATTTTACTTTTTTTATTATTATTATTTTTTTTATCCTCACCCGAGGATATTTTTCCATTTTTTTGTACAGATAGAGTGGGAGGGAGAGAGAGGAAGGAAGAGAGAGACAGAAACATCGACGTGAAGGGACACATCGAGTGGCTGCCACCCGCACAACCAACCAGGGCCGGGGACAAACTGCAACCGAAGTACATGCCCTTAGTGGGAACCGAACCCGGGTCTCTCTGGACCGCAGGCCGACGCTCTAACCGCTGAGCCAAACCGGCCAGGGCCAAATACATTGTTTTAAAAGCCACTTTTGTTGAACCCTTGTAGGCTGAATCAATTCCGAGGAATATCGTTCGGATCTTCGAAGTGCGATCTGAAAATCATTGATGTAATTTAACTGTCTCCTGGTAGAGATGGAAAATCACCAGCCGAGGAACGGGGTGGGCTCAGGACACCTGCCTCCTGCCTCCTGGGCTGCCACATGCCACTGCCTTACTCCACATCTCTAATTTTCTGTTGTAGATCCTCCACCAGAGAGTGAGCGCAAAATTATTCAACCCCACCTCCTACTCAATCAGCAGCACTTGCAATTCAAAGGTTTGGTAGGGAAGATGTGGAAATTCTTGCTTTGGATCAACTTCAAGGTGTTTGTTCCCCTCTTATATGTGGTTGAAGGCAATGACTAGTTCCCAGCCCTCCCATCACCAGCCTCACTTTCTCTTTCAAGTAAGTTTTCATGTACATTTGCTTTATTTTATTTTATTTTATTTTTAATCCTCACCCGAGGACATTTTTTGTTCAGATAGAGCGGGAGTGAGAGAGAGGAAGAGAGAGAGAGAGAAACATCGATGTGAAGGGACACATCGAGTGGCCGCCACCCGCACGACCAACCAGGGCCGGGGACAAACTGCAACCGAGGTACGTGCCCTTAGCGGGAACCGAACCCGGGTCTCTCTGTACCGCAGGCCGACACTCCAACCGCTGAGCCAAACCACCCAAGGCTGCTTTATTTTTAATATTTATTTTTGTTAATCCTCACCTGAGGGTATTTTTTCATTGATTTTTTTTTTTTTTTTTTTAGATAGAATGGAAGGGGGGGGAGAGATAAACATTGATGTGAGAGAGACACATCAATTGGTTGCCTCCCACAGGATCTTGACTGGGGTCAGGGATCAAACTTGCAATCCAAGTACATGCCCTTCACCGGGAATTGAACCCGAGACCCTCTGGTCCATGGGCTGATGCTCTAACCACTGAGAAAACTGGCCAGGGCCACATTGGCTTTATTATTATTTTTTTTTTAGAGAGAGAGGAAGGGAGAGAGAGAAACATCAATAGGAGAGAAACATTAATAGGCTGCCTCCTGCACGCCCCCTACTGGGGATCAAACTAGGACCTCTCAGTCCATGGGATGACAGTCTACTGAGCCACACTGGCTGGACCACATTTGCTTTAAATAAGGCCAACACAGAAAGATCTGGAGCTATCAAACCCAAATCAATCTTTTAATGTAGTATTCCTAGGTGTAGCACAGCCAGAAAATTTAACCTAATCAATAGTGCTGTTTGGAGGGTGGTCTATGTGACCTCCATTGCAGAGGACTCAGAGAAACCAAAGGTGCCGGAGCCTGGACTCAGGGACTGGGTGTGTCCCAGTAGAGATGGATGTAATTAGTGCTGGCCACTCAGGCAATTCAAGTATTTTCCCTTGCTCAGATTTCACAAGCAGAAGTCAAACTTCCGCATGTCACTTGGCTTTCCAAATTATGTAGACCATTTAAGTTCTCTTTGTAAGTAAGTGTGACACGGCATTCTGGTTTCAGCTGTAGCCTCTCTGGGGACAACAGTGGGAAGCCATTCCAAAGACACTGCTCCCTTTATGTGTGTGTCTTTTGAGGACAGGGAGGTATCTGAAACAGAAGACTTGTGGTAAGTTCCACATCAGGATATAGGCAAGCCCAGAACCCAGAAGCTACTACTACCTTTAAAAGCTAAAAGCATTAGAGTCAATGGACTTAGCAGGGTATTACCTCTCATGGCTGAGGTGCATGTGGGGGACACGATCCACACAGAAAGAGTGACATGTTTGCATGTTCTATGTACAGCAAAATTACAAAATTACTTGCTGGTAAAGGACATGCCATTTTCATTCTCCTTCCTGCTTGCAGTGACTTGAAGACTATGTCCTAAACTCAGGTATCCGAAGAGTCACCTTTGGATTTGCCAGAGTTATTCAGGGAGTTGCCTGGTTGTGTATGTACTTGGGAGGGAACCAGTCAGTCTTGGTGGAGAGCAACCAACCAACCCAGTGACCGTAGGGAGAGGATAAGGTGCCTGAGAAAGGGGAGACTCACAAACTGTTATTAAAAGATTGAGGGCAGCCCAGCCGGTGTGGCTCAGTGGATTGAACATCATCCCTTGGACCGAGAGGTCCCGGTTCGATTCCTGGTCGGGGCACATACCTGGGTTGTGCTCTTGATCCCCAGTAGGGGGTGTGTGGGAGGCAGCCGATCAGTTTCTCTCTCACATTGGTGTTTCTATCTCTCCCTCCCTTCCTCTCTCTCTAAAAAAACAATGAAAACATTTTAAAAGAAAAACATTGAGTGCAAACAAATTATTCTTTTCTATAACTGGGGGTGGGGGAAAAGATGAAAGAGCGTGGCCTTTCCATACGGTAACTCCCAAGGAGCCCAGCTGGCTTTACAGTCCATTAAACCAGCATCGAAGAAGACAGTGGTCTCTGCCAGGAAGCTACTTGCGTGTTCATTCTCCTCCGTGCCTTCCTGCACCCTGGGGCTGGGGGGCAGGGAGCCTTAAGACCCTGCTTGGCGTAGCAGAAAGGCACAGATCTAGGGCCCAACAAGGACAAGGTGAGGGAAAGAGGGGAAGTATAGGGCCAAGCCTCAGAAAGGACTCTAGGGGTGTGTGTGTGTGTGTGTGTGTGTGTGTGTTGCATCCCTTTTGGGCAAGGGTATTTGGGACAGAACCTATGATGGAAAAAAAAAAGACTAGTTCTATTTTGTGACTGACTTTTGGTATCAAATCAGACCAGCTCCTGCTATTTATCTACCTTTTCTCTGCAGCCTGGGACAGAGGCAAGAAAAGTGGGGATAAGACCTCTCACCACAGAAGCCTGTTCGGAGGGTGGCTCCCTCCTTCACACCAGCCTGCTCAGACAGCCAGGGTGCTGTGCTGTTCTCCAGCACCATGTTGCTCCCAAGGAACCCGCAGAACTGATAAAGTCCTTCCTTTTGTTTTAAAAGATAACAGAAAACTTGATTGTGTACTTGGATGCTCTGAGTTGTAGTAAGGAGGTCTGAGTTCTGAGATATGAATGCTCAAAACCAAAATGACCCTCCAGAAAGCTGTTTTGACCCGAATTTGGGGCCTAATATTAGTCATGCTTAGACACTCAATGAATGGGACAATAAAAAAAACAAAACACCAAAAAAAACCAAAAAAACACAAAAAAACAAAAAACACTTTGGGAAGGTGAGGGCTGGAGAACCCCTGAAGGAAGGTAGAGAAAACTGCTAATATAAGGGGAACACATTTTCCCAAAAGGCATTTCACTTAAAAAAAAAAAAAAAGGACTGTTAAGTCTACCTCTTTCTTATCCTTCCAAATTCATCCTTTTTCAAAAGCTCCAGCTTCACGGTTCCCTGATTGTAGATTCTAACCAAAGAGGGCAGAGCAAAGTTTGTCCTACAAGGGAATAAAATGGTGACCAGGGCCACCAGTCACCGAGGGAGATGTTGGCAGAGAAGCATGTCGGGGTCCACTGGTAAGCTGACTCCTGGGCTTGCACAGAGGGGGTTCCCAACATAACTCTGACAGATCCTTTCTCAACTTCAACTGACGGCCAGTGGCATTATCCGGAAGTGGAGACACATTGAGGACAGCACAGCGACAGGTGGGCATGGGCTTTTATTCTCAGTGCATAGCAGTGCTGACTGCTGCTCATCAGCAACAAGTTTTATTGGTTCCAAAAAAATTATCCCTTTTTTTCCATCTTTTAAAACTGCTCTTCTGTTCTTCTTGTCTCAGTGGAACAACATATTTGAATTCCAGATTTGCCAGTTTATAGCCTGTTTCCCCCCCCCGTCTAAGAACCATATAAATACATGCAAGACATTGTACAGAGAGCTTAAATAATATCAAAATGCAAATACAGATTGGGTGCACTGTTAAGCTGAACTGCAAATTGTGGCAACACACACTGGGGTACGCATTGCTTTGATATCACCATTTGCATATTGATTTCATGCAGACCACAATGGCCTATCTTTTGTTTTGCTTTTATTTTTTTACACAATAAAACCAGTGCTTGCTATACTAGTTACAGAAAAGAAGAAGGAGCAGAAGAAGAAGGAGGAGAAGGAGGAGAAGAGGAAGAGGAAGAGGAAGAAGGAGAAGAAGAGGAAGGAGACGGAGAAGAGGAAGAGGACGAGGAAGAAGAAGAGGAAGAAGAAGAGGAAGGAGAAGAGGAAGGAGAAGGAGAAACTTAAAATTCCTATCTGCGTGCTGATTTGAAAAGAACAAGGTAGTTAGATCTGTTGGCACGTGTATCTGGCATATTCACATATGGGGCGAAAACATGAACCGATGGCCAGTTCAGTCTTGGGGACTCACCTCCCTCCATCTCTCTTAACCAAGAGGAAAGGGACAGCAGGCCTTCCAGCAGGGCTGGGAAGACAAAAAAGACTGGCACCAGGCTAATGGAAGGCTGTCTGGTCGACTCTGAGGGAAGGGCTGGAACGGCTTAGGAATCCCAGGCCTTTGTAAATGCCTCGCCCCCAACATGGCAGTGGGATGGTCCCCTGTTATGCAAAGTGAGGAGGTGTGTCCTTTGTGATGGTACTAAGGGCTGCTTCCCTAGGCAAGGAAGCCGAAAAGTAAAGGAAGTTTCGCATTTGGAGGTTTCAGGGCACAGGGGAGCTGGCCACGCTCCTCTGGGTTCTGGGCGGTGAGGTAATCACTCGGATTTAAGTGCAAGCCCTCCCCCGCGAAGTCCAAGGGGAATAAGAAACCCAGACCTAAAGAATCCGCAAAGTGCCAGAGGGATTTTCAGGTGGTCTTTCTACAACTTTTAGGGATGCGAGTCATTTCAGAGGTCAGAGGGCACCTATGGGAAGGACCTAGCCTCAAGACTGCCAGCCAGAGCTAGAACCAGCCTTCGTTTTTTCCACGTAGAGCTCAATTCCCCATCTTATAGATTGCACGCAACCTTTCTAGGGCCGAAGTCCTAACTCACATCCTTGCATAAAACTCACTAATGGAAAACTCTGCAGGCAACAGGAGTTAAAAAAAAAACACAACCAAACCCCAAATCAGAGTATCCTTGCAGCCCAAGACATTGTTCATATGTCTTGGGTACCACTCTGCCAGCTACTCATCAAGAAACGGAATCCAACCAAGGCCCCTGACCCTAATCGCTAGCCTGGACTCATCTCCCTGGGGCCCTCGCCCACTTGCTGCTGGTTCTCCCTTCTTGCTGGATGCTTTCCTCCCCTCCAGCCTACTGCCCATTTTTCTAGATGTATCAAGAGAGTCATCTAGGACAATATTTTCCCTTCTCCCCATCAGCCCCTTTTCAAACCCAAAGCACCATTTTGGGGAAAAGCTTTATTAACTTATGCCATATTTACTCACTGCCAGTTGGATCACTGAAACTGAATAGAAAAAAACTTATATAAAAAACATAGGCACATAAACACTTAAACTTACTCAATTCCATAGCAACAAAATTTATATTAAAAAAGTCTAGAACCCAACAAAATTTCCCCCTAAGTATAAAGATGGCTGTTTGGAGAAAGGAATTACACTGCATTGGTTTTAGAACCAACACAAATATACGAAGTCACCTGTCATGTGAAACAGCTGGTTATGTGCTCCCCCCACAGGGTTACATGACAGCACTTTATTTTAAATCCTTTAAACAAAATACATATGGCTGACTCAAAAAATACCAGTTTCTGATCTAAAGAAAACTATATATTTTTTTGCATAATATTTCTATATTTTCTCTCCTACTGTGGAAACTAGAATACACAAAACCGTTGACTTTAAAAGTAGACACAAGCTCTCAGGAGTAACCTGTCGGGCACCACGAGAGTCTTCTGGGAGTAGGAATGGTAAAATAGCCTCCAAAGTTGGTTATTGGCTTGTTTTTAAAACTGATCTGAGGTAATAAAAGACTTGACAGAACTAAATCTTCCAATGTACTTAATAAATATACATGTGAACACCTAACACCTTGTGTGAGCTGTTTTTCCTCCCCCACGAGTGTTTCAGAGAGAAAAGATCACTGACGCATGTCACCTTTACAAGAGCAAAGTCCAATCCGGTAGATTCTGTAGTGCGGGGTTGTGCGGGGAGTCCTGGTCCTTCACCCTTCCTACCTGGGACAGCTCGGGAGCCAGTGAGAGGGAGGCGGCATCCAGAAGAAAAGGCTGGAGAAGACAGGTTCCGGTGCCCTGACTCTCACAAATGGACATCTGGCAGTTTCTCAGAGCCTCAAGCCCCTTCTCCCTACTCCCATCGCTCTGCAAAGAGGGGGGCAGGCTTCCTTTATGCAGTGGGAGGAGGAAGCTGGCAGATGTGAGGGAACTCCCTGTACAGAAGAGTGTAAGTTGACATCAGCAGGGATAAAAATGGAGCTGCTGCATATGTGCTCCACCTCGTCCCGTTAAGGAACACTTTAAAAATCTCCTAGTGGAGTCCCCAGCTCCTGAGAGGCAGGTGAAGAGGGAGGCTTTGGGCAGTGTTCAGGGAAAGAAGGCACAGGGCTTCCTGTGCAGCAGGTGAGCACGTTCTGGAGAGCCTTGCGGGGGCGTGTGAGGGGAAGGAGAGGAGGGGTGGAGGAGAGCTTGCCAGGGTGGGTCCTTTGCTTCTTTAAGTCAGCAAAATGTCACTGGAGCCTTCCATTTTGGATACGGATTTTCAAAATCAGAGAATTTGAGAAAGCTTGTGACCTTTTCAGAGAATGGACAAGTTAAGGGACACAGCAAAGGGTAATATTAGACAACTGAAGGGAATATCAAAGCTGGTGCCCGGCCACCTAAACTTAAGGCTTCTGGCTTCTCAGATCCTGCTAGAATGGCCCTTTAGCCTCTCCCAAGGCTTCTCAACACGTACTCCCCCAACAACCAGGTCCTGCCCTGGAAGAGCCTTGGCAGATGGCTTCGAAAGCAGTAGTGGTCACCCCAAAGATTTCACAAGAGCTGGCTTTGACGGTCTGTCTTGTCCTAGACCTTTCAACTTCTGGTCCTCGATATCCAAGTTCACTTAGGAGGCAGGGTCATTCTCAATAGATTCATTTGCCACCACTTTAGACATAAGAGAAATCTCAGGGTTATAGTAAAAACTACACACCACACATATGCAAGCTTCATGGTCAAGGTAGCGCTTAGAAACCACACATACCGGACAAGCTTTGAAGTAGGTAACTAATAACAGCAAGAACACATTCTTACACATTTTTGAAGCTCTCAATTGCTTCAAAAAACCCTGTTAGCAATGAAAACCTGTCTGCCTCTAGAGCTAAACCAATGGTTCCAATGGGGCCAGAAGGGAGAATGGTCAAAGTTGACTCAATTCATCCAGGTCCTTTCTACTTCCTTAATCATCACAACTTAAAAAAAAAAAGTGAAGGTAAGGAAGACAATAGTCATAAAACCTTGAGGAAATTTGCCTGGAAGGGTAGAAAGAGCTAGAGGGCTTTAGGTATAAACTTTCAAAATGGGAAAATAGTTTTAAAAACAATCACTCTACAGGCTAATTCCATACAAATCCATTCCTGTTTCCCATACATTTCATTTGAGAATATTTGTCTCTGAAGCCTCGACTGAGGTTATACATGGCACAGACTCATAGGGTAAAATCCAGAAGTCAGGAGATGGCAAGATGTGTATGAATACTGGGGGGAAATCTGGGTTGGGGTGAATGCCAAGAGGATCATACCATTTCTTTAAAAATGACAACTGATATACCCAAGGAGTAGATTCTATTATTTACTACCTGCCTGGGTTTGACTGGGTCCTGCTATAGACCCCGACTTAAGTTTAAGTTGAAATCCTTATAGATCTGTTCTCTTGCCTCTTTGTGGTCAGGCGGGGCTCACACATACTTGGGAGCAGCTGACTTGACAGTCAATGTCCCATCAACACCTAGAGATGGGAGAGATGAACAGGAAATAGGGAAAGCAGGAACGAGCGTCAGAGAATGAAGTTCAAACTGATGTCTCCAGGCTGTGTAAAGGGCTGTCCGAGGGGGAGGCAACAATTTGCACCTGGCTGCAATCCTCTGTATTGTTTTGGTTGGTGTGTGGAGTGACTTCACCATCCAACAAGAGCACCCTAGTCCCAGACTTAGAAACCTTTTCAAGATTTTCCTCCTCTTGCTCATCCAGGAGTGGTGTTCGTGGCACCTCCTCATCTATGGCGAATTCAGGGTGGGTCATGAAGTTGTGGATGGAGTTTTGGTTCTTGGGTTTCTGGATGCTTTCATGGAGGGAACTATGGAATGCTTTGACCACTTTGATCTATACCAGGGGAAGAAAAATAAGGATGAGAAAATACAGATATAAGAATTGGCCAGTCGAACAAGAAACTGGTGGTTTGAGGAGAGAAACAAAATCCAGACTACAAAACATTATTGATCAACAACAAAAACCATACATAAAAGAAGAGATCATGGAACACTAAAAACATTTACGTGGCTCAAATTTCAAGCATTGGGGTGGGGTGAGGTGAGTAATGGCAAACAACTAAGATGTTTCAAAAGCTGCATTAAAAAAATAGAAAACCCAAAAAGCAAAGTTAGCATTCCCAAATAATCCACTCTTAAAATGAAACAGAAAACAAAAAGATTCATTAGTTCTTTTGAACAGAGGGCACGCATGTTGGAACTAAGTGCAAATTAATAGCCAAATTTAAGAGATGACTCAGACACGTGGACTTCTGTGTTGAGGCCAAACATTTTGTGAATGTGGAATAGAAACACTGCACACTGAAGTTTAGTTATCTGTTTAAAACCATCAAAGAGCCAAACACAATCCAATCTGTACACAACACACGTTGGGTGATAAGTGACCATGAGTACAATGCAGCAGCAAGGCAGACAAACCAATCTTCATTTGTGTCAGCAGCATGCAAGAGATAAAAACATATACTTTCCAATGGAATAATTGCTCTTTCACCAGCAAACACACATATATTTATGTCCCACAACCTCTACCCTGTCCCCTTCCTTCTGCCTCTCCCCTGGAAGATGTGGATGAAATACAAGTATCAGAGGCATCGAAAGACGCCTCCTCCTGACCACTGAGAGAAGAGCTGGCTCTCACACTCAAATGCACGGCTTTGTCTCTGACGCACGGCAACTCTGCCCAGTCTCATAGCTTTGTCTAGCTGTTTCTAAATTGTAAAGACAAGTGTGATCTTATGGGGAGAAGGAAAAGGACGGAACCTGGATTGTGTGTAATGCAGGGGGCAGTGCTACAGACAAGGGGCTTTTATGATGGGGTGGATGATGAAGATGAAAGGAAGAAAAACAATTTGTAGTTTTACTGGGCAAAGGAAGGAAAATCCATTGTCTGGTAAGTGTTCAAATCTTTGTTTTACTGCACAAAGAAAGGGGCTCATTCGGTTCTGAGAAGGGGAAAAAATGGACCCTAATTCATCTCTGTGACCAGCCTTTGCCTTATCCATAGGTAGCCTGCTTTTCTGAACTGCAGGTCTTTCTAAGGGATGATTTAGATCCTGGGTTGGCAGGACTGGGGTTGGGGGAGGAAGTTGGATCCTGAGAGATTGGAGAGAGGCCAGGAAGAAAGGAAGCAGTTGCAGGATTTTCGTTGTTGGGAGGTGGCTGATCCTAGTCCTATTAAAAAATTCTTCCCTTGGAAAAGAAATGGGAGTGACACAGGAAAAACTGTTGAAGGGGTTGGGGGAAGGGGCGGAACGATGAGTGTTGGGTTAGGGCATCTCTTTCATTCCTCTGCTGTTTAACCAAAGGATGTGTTCCTGGAGAAGAGGCAAGAATGTGGAGACGGCAGAGCACACAAAGAGTCAGGCAAATCATTTGGTTGGACTGCCTGTCCCAGTACTTCCTATCACTAGAGAAAGCTTTCAAAAATAATGTGCAAAAGTTCACTAAAATTGTGTCTCTGCTGGTTAAGCTTTCCTTCTCTCTCCTTACTCTGTGACAGCCTGGCAGACCCACCGGGACTGGGGATGCTCAGAGCTTAGAGGGCAAAGGGTTCTTTGCCACTGAATAGAATCAGTTCAACACCTTAGCCAAACAGAATCAAGGAACCTGGGCATACATTCACCATACTGAACAGAAAGTAAGGACCTACTTTTCCATTTTTCTGTGATTCCCACTGACCATCTGATGGGTGAATTTTACCTGTCATGTTCTCTTTGGTCCAGAACTAGGTGAAATTAGATGGAATAGAGGCTCTACCTGGTCTTCAGGAGGTCTCAAGTTTTAACTGATCTGTGTCAAACTTAGAGCAAGGCAACTTGGTTTAAGTAAACTCAAACCCAATGCCTCTTCCCTTGGCCCTGCTCAAGAGGTGGGTTCAAAGTCCTGTCACCCCGATACTTTTCACCTGCTCTTGAGATCTCAAAATTTCTAACAAGTGCTGCAGGTGAACAGGTACCTTTATACCACCAGTTGATCATCTTCGATATCAGTGATTTTCAAACTTCCTGCTTCTATGGTTTGAAGAAACCTTTTCAAGATTTCAATTTTTAGAAATTGAATAATTTATAAAAAAATAATTATATGTGTAATATAGAAAACAGATTTTTTAAAACTGGGATTGTAGGGAGGGTCTGGAGACCTGTTTGCTGGCTTTCCCTCTCACCTGTTGGGGCGATCATCACATTGTTACAGGTAAACAATAAGGGAGATAAAAGTGAATTGGGTGGGTAGATGGGGAGCAGGGAACGGCCATCTGGCTAGATTGCAGGACTTCTGGAAGCTAAAGGGAAACCAGTCACCTGCAAGGGAAGCTCAAGTGAAGTGGAGTCAGAGAGCTAGGGAGTACCATCTGGAGGCCTGGTGGGTGGAGAAAAGGGTGAGGAGTAGAGGGCACGGGGCTGTGCCAGAGTGCTCCCTGAGTCCAACACTGGCCTCAGAGAATTCATAACATGCTGAGAACAGTCGCAGAGACACACCATCACCCACCCATCCAGATCCTCCTCCCTGCCCGAGGGTGCTGCCTGGTGCGTGAGCGGTGCACGGAAACAGGACAGCTGGTGAGGCGGGTGCTGTGAAAGCTTCCGGCTCTCTCCACTTGGCCAGTCAACCCTTCCTCCCCTGGTCATCATCTCTGAAAACCTTTGGGAAATGTCTCCTCTGTGGTCCCTGTCATCCTGGTGAAGTTGACGGAAGGGCCACGCTTTCTCATGCCTCAGAAGCCCCAACCAGGCTAGACCTTAGTGCCGAGGGCCCCTCTCTGTAGCTCAGTGAGTAGGTAGGTGAAGACCCCATTTCCTGGGCTGGCTTTCTGTAGTTTTCTGTGCACTTCTCAGAAACCAGGGGAGGAGGAGAGATTTTGACCTTTTCACATATTTCTCCTACCCAGATGTGAACTCATCAACTCTTAAACCAAAATTTGGTGTAAAGTCCCCGGAAAAGAAAACTCAGCCCTGTACACGTGAATTGAACACTTCCGTTCCTTCACATCAGCTATGACTTGTATGCCAATACTGCCAGCTGACAATGGTGTGGTCGCCAAAAGGACCATGATTAGTGGTCAAGTTCAATACTGGCTCAATGATGACAGGTCTTTTGGTAAAAATAACAACAACAACTCCTGTTGTACCTTTCTTAGGAGATCTCAAACTCGCCCCCAAATGAGGAGAGCTCCTGGGTTTTCATTTGGCCTAACCTTACATCCAGCCTTCGGACAGAGAGTTCAGACTCAAAGGAGCAGAAGGAGAGGAGAGGAACAACAACATATCTGAACAAAGCAAAAAAAAACAAAACAAAAACAAAACAAAACAAAAAAACAGGAAAACAAAATAAAGCAAAACAAAAAACTCAAGGAAGACATAAGCAATTCAGAGGAGCAATCAGAAAACAGGACTACTGTCTTTAAAATAATTAGGGTTTAATAGCTTTCCAACATTATAAATAAATAAGTATATAAATAAATAAAAATAAAAGGACCCATAGCCTGGTTTGGGAGTGGACTTTAAGTCCCATTTTTCTTCCCTTCAGTCAACGATCAAAGGGAAAACCAGAAGGAAAAGGTAATCTTAGTTCGTTAAAGTGGATGCCACATGCTCTCTTGTGGTCATTTTAGCAAATCATGCATCATAATAGACTATCACTCACTGCCCAGAGTAGGAGATGAAACAGCAGCAGCAACAGAAGTGGTGGGGGAAGATTTGACCGGTGCAACTGTTACAAAGGATGAGCTAGGACCATGCTGACCCATGGTCTGCCGCTTTAGGACTCCCTGAAAAGAGGCTCCCGTCTGGAATGTGTTAATTACGTCGATCTGCGAAGAATCAGAGAGTGAAATAGCTTTGCTCCACAGTCAGAGAGAGGTGAAGAGGGGGTGGGGAGGGGTTTGGAGGGTTCGGGAAGGGGGTTGGGAGGAGATGGGAGAAGGGGGCAGGAGACAGAAAGCCAGAGATTCCCTCACACACGAAGCGGTGAGGGGCAGGGGAAGGACCTGCCCACGGCACATCACACTTCATTTCACGAACGATTTGCCATGGAGCCCAAATACCCAGCCAGAATCCAGTCTGCTGTCCCCTTTTGGCCAATGGAGGGCATTTTAGGTGTGCTCGTGTCCAAAAGTATCTAAAATTTAAAGGGAGTTCCATACTCCATGATGCCTCACAGACAGAGACAGTTTATTCAGTTTTGACCTGTACTCTTGGAAAACGAGGCACGCACTTTAAGATAGAAGGCAAAGTATGTATTACAGACTTTTGAGGCCCAGGAACCTCTAAACCAATTGAATTGACTGCCTATTTTTACAGATTTTCCAGGAAAGTAACTCATGTGCTTAAAGAAAAAAACAACACAGAGGCATGTAGTAGCCTGTACATAGGTGACCACAGTGAAAAGGCTCCTGAACCCTGAGTTGCTGGGCTCACCCTCTTCAGGGTTTCTTCTCTGAGATGTTCTTTCCTAGGGCTGAGGTGGACAGGGACTGAGGCTGGACCCAGAAATCCAGTGGCCATGCTCTTTAGAGAGAATACCACTAACTGCCGCAGCGCACTGGAGGTTGGGAATGTCTGGCAAGAGTGCTAACAATAACTCAGCAGTTAGACTGCAGGGGGCAGAGCGAGTTGTTGCTATTGGTGGGTGGTGAGCTGCTTCAAGTCTAGCCCTGCACAGTAGTCTCTGGTCTCCAGGGCCCTACGCCTCTGAGACAGAGGGAACTCATGACGTTAGTTTTCCAACAATGGTCTGGGTGTGGGGTCTCGGTCAAACCTACCATCCTTTCCCCCGACCCCGACCCCTACGTAACAAGGAACAAATCAAAGGGAATTCCTTTATCCTGCCGAATCTAGTAGAACTGCCTTTACAATGCCCACATGCCTGATACCAATGGCCAACCTCCCAGGAGTGCTGGAAAGGTACCGATTGCACTCATCCGGCTTGGCGAGAAGGTGGTGAAGCAGGCACCTTGTGAGTCAGTCACTCTTACTTACAAAGCTCCCCGAGGAGCCATGGAATGTTTAGGGCTAGTTTCTGGATTCTGAACTAACCCCCTCCCCCTCCCCGCCCCTTCATCACATTACACGGTTTTCAGTTCCGGGGGACAGAGGAGCCTAATCCTGTAGGAGGAACGAGTCTGCATGTAGGGAGGGGTCGGCTTCCTCAGTGCTCATTAGGGTTCTGAGGTCTCATCTTCCACAGTGAAGTTGGATCCCAGATTTCCCTTCCTCAGATTCTAGCCCTTGTTTCCCAGATTTCTGCTCTCAGTGCTTTTCGCTCTCCCCAACTAAGGGGACCGGGATGGGACAGTCCTGAGAATGGCAACAAAGACCAGAGGGCCAGGGGTTCTGTAAGGACCCTGCTGAGGCTGAAGAACTGGGTGAGGGGAGCGCTTCGGGTGTCCGGATGCAGGTTGGCACAGTCAGCCTCATTTGCTCAGAGTCGGGCGCACTCTGCGATGGCACGGCTTTGGTTACCGTGGCATCTTGAACAGGCTGCCTTTGCTGCCTAAGTTCAGGGCCTTAACGCTATTCTGGCCCGACTGCCTCCTGCTCCAGTAGGAAAAGGTAATGTTCTTAAATCGATGTAGGCAATGAAAATACATCGTCGAGGGACTGAAAACTGGTAGTGGAGGGGTAAGGAAGATCCATGAAGCTCAAGCCCCCAGGAGAGAAGGCTGGCAAGAAGCCAGGAGACACTGGAATGAGGGGATCTGGTTAGGAAAGAAGTCACACAGTAGAAGAGGAGGCAGAGGATCCTGGAGGGAAGAAAAGTAGACAGGTTACTTTGAAAACAGCAGACCTAAAGGAAAGCACTGGGGCCTCAGTGACAGCAGCCAAAGGTGCCAGGTTCTCCGGGCCCGTGAGGCCACTGCTGGATGGGCTCGGCAGCCTAGACAGTGTGTGGGACGGGGGTGAACTCTGATGTCCTGAGGCAGTTCTGAGCTCCTGCACGTCCGGTGGGAGTGTCCCTCTCTGGCCCCTCTTTCCCAGCCCACCTGTGGTCTTGCCTATGGGAGACAAGTTTCTCAGCGGTATTTGGTTTAGAATATCACTGCACCTCTCTTCTCTGTGTACTAAGAACAAGAGGTGGGCTTAGCTAGGGAACTTTCTAAATATCCCAAAGGCTTTTTAGAAAATAAAACTTGCCTGGCCGGTATGGCTCAGTGGTTGAGCATTGACCCATGCAACAAGAGGTCACCGGTTCAATTCCTGGTCAGGGCACATGCCCAGGTTGTGGGCCTGATCCCTAGTGGGGGGCATGCAAGAGGCAGCCAATCGATGTTCTCTGTCACTGATGTTTCTATCTCTCTCTCCCTCTCCCTCTTCTCTCTCTAAAAATCAATAAAGAAAAAAAACTTAAAAATAAAAAAGAAAGTAAAACTTATTTCTGGATCTTCAGCCAACCAGTAGAGAGCAACAGGCCTGTTCTCTGGAAAACACCCTTGAGACCTTGGGATTTCAAGTTCTTGAGGTGGGAGTTCTCAGGGCTAACACAACAGAGGTGTGTGGGGCAAGAGCAGGGAGAGAGCCGGATTATCAGGCCTAGACCAGCCCATCCGCCCGGGAGAAGGTAGGCACAGGAGCGTGGGGAGTGGGCAATGTTTCTGTAGGGCCACAGGCAGGGGACTTGAGAGCACCAGGAGCAGTTTCTCTCCCATTTCAGAAATCGCAAGGAAAAAAGTCTTGAAGGAATCATAGCTTCCTTTTTGGGAAGTAAGTCTGAATCCTGCAAAAGATGCTCAAGCATTGAGAGACTGTTGTCATTTATACACACTTAGCCATCAGATTCCCCACCATGACCTTAAATTTCCAGTGGGGAAGATATACGAGGGTGTGTTTCTTTTACAAAGATCCCTCCTGGTAACATCTACCTTGACCTAACAGCCGCTCGAGGATGGACACTGAGTGTCTGCTGGGGTGCAGGCTCAGAGATATTGTCTAACTGCTTCCTCCTGAAGGGCAGGGAGACTCTGAACTTCCCCCACACTTGGCTAGGTCTGGTGCTTATACGACACCTCATGCAGGAAGCAGGCCCGACCCAAAGATAAAGGACTGTGCTAACAGTGAGTGTCCCATGCTCTAGACTCTACGACTGCTCTCCCCCAGAGTAGACACAGCTGCCCCTGCCTGTCTGTCCTACATCTCGGGAGTGAGGGCTGCCCATTAGTAGTGGGCCTTTGGAAAGGAAGAGATGTTGGCCACCAAGAACTGCTGCCCTTCCCAAACTGCCTGAGATGTGGAGGAGATTTCTTCACCCAGCATGAGCCTAGGCCACTATCCAAGTACCTGAGTCTGGATACGGTTAAGGCCCCGGAACCAGAGGATCTGGCCGCGGCGTAGCTCCATCTCTGCATGGTCAATCTCGTCCAGCCCCTCCGCATCCTTGGTAATCTCCTCCTTGGTAGTGCCATGCCCAGCCTCCTTCAGGAACTTCAGGGATTTGGTAGGTATCGTGGAGATGACCTGGGAATAGGTGCAGCAAAAGGGGAAACACCAGAATCAGGGTCAGGCCTTCGGGTAGGCTCCTCCTGGCCCTGTGGCCCGTCCCACAGGAGAATGGTGGAGAAGCTCCAGGCCATTCGAGCAGCATTCACCAAGGGCTGTCAGCTGCCAGGACCCCAGGCAGGTTGTCTGTATTGGTGGGCATCCAAAAGAGAACTTATATTCTAGTGTTTGACTAGTCATCTGCCTCCTTCTGTCTCAGTTCTTCCTTTCTGTTATACTATGTGTGCTTCAGGGAAGTAGAACTACGATACCTGACCAGAGTAGAAAGGGCTAGAGACCAGGATCTGGGGGAAAACAAGTCTGGGGACAGGAGGGTCACATTACATGTGTATGAGTAAGGGGTAGAGAGGGTGTTGGAAAAGAATGAGCCTCTTTTTAGTTACCGCATGCGAAGTTATTCCTGTGTTATAAAACTAGTGAAAGGGCATAAACGTCTTCTTGGACTTGGGGTGAGGAAGTAGGTGGGTGATGGACGAAAGGACATGTGAATATTACCAGAAACCATGGAGCAGTAGGGTAGGCTTGTAATTCAAAACAGAGCCTTGGTGAGCTCAGTACCTGTCAACCAGTTCTCCTGTACAGACAAGAGGAGGAGCAGACAGGGCTCAGATGGAGAGGAAGGGCTGTGTGGGCAGTCCAGTGTGGACCCAGGTGTCCTGAAACAGGACGAATGTCAAGGTGGTGCATTCGGATGCTGGAAGGAGGTGCTGTGATGTAGACAAAAGGCTCTTTTCTGCCACCAAGGCCACATCATCACAGATTACAGTTAGATGAGAGTTTCAAATGGTCGGTGAAGCAACCAAGCTTCACCCTAGTGTAAGCTGCAGTAGGGACTCCCTGGGAAATGAACGTCAGCAAACAGAACAGGGTGGAGGGACTGGGGTTAGAAACCGGGACAGGACTGAATCAGGGAGGCATCTAGGAGGCACAGACAACTGGCAGGTCTCTGGGGCAAGGCCTTCAGCCTGGGGGAGGGATCTTCGGGTCAGTTAGAGCGAAGCAGGGGACTTGTAAAGAGGTACTGGGAAGGGAACGACACGCTCTCCAGACCTGGTGACATTGCGGTGATAGGAACAGCTAACAGCCGTTGAGTACTTACAGGGCAGCAGGCATGGGACTAAGTCCTTTCTGTATAGTAACTGATTTGCTGACTAACAACAATCAACAATGACTCGTTATCCTAAGCTGAGGAAACTGAGGCACAGAGTGGTTAAGAAACTTGTTCGAAGTTCAATGTGTAAAAAGGAGAGCTGGGATTCAAACTCAGTCAGCAGCTCCAACATCCATGCGCTGAACTCTGTGCTAGACTGCTCTAGAGACCACGCGAGTCTGGATTTATTTGAGGCGAGAGCCAGATGGCCGTGGTGAGAAACGGGGTGGGGTGGGGCTTAAACTGTCAGCAGAGTAGCCAGGGCCAGACTGAAGCTTCATTAGAATAAAGATGTGCTCTGTAAACTCTTCTATTTCTAAGATCCTTCTTACTTCATTATTATCATCATTATTGTTATTTAGCAAAATTTCACTGAAACGTTCCACTGCCATCTCAGAGCAGTTAAGGGGTTTGCCTGCCTCCATTGTGGGTAGAGAAGTGATCCGAAGCCTCTAAAGTGATGGGCAGTGATTATTCCACCTTGGGATCCTACGAGATGGAGAAAATGTAACAGCTTGAGGGGCGGGGAGAACAGGAGAGGCCTGTGGCTGTGCGGATGCACGGCGGGGGGCCGGTACTCACCTGGCCCCACAGCAGTTCTCCAGTGCCAATGAAGAGACACCAAAACCACTGGGACAGGGTGAGGTTCGTACAGCTGAAAGGTTTACCCCCAAATTCCACGATGATAATCTAGAACAGAGAAGGGGCAGCCCACCGTCAGCGAGGTGGCCACAGAGAGCTTGCCCTCCAGCTACGGCCATCGGAGTCACATCACCCCTTGCCCCAGGATCCTTGTGGTCTAAGTCCTGATTTGCTTGTTAGGAAAGAAGAAAGAAAAAATCTGGAGGGAGAGAAGGGGAGATAGACACAAACATTATTTAACCACTCTGATAAGGAGACAGACACAGCTGCGATGAAAGTACTACTATAAGAGCTGGGGGAACGGGGCAGGTGCTAGAGGCTTCTTGTGACAACAGCCTGTGGTGACAAAGATAAGGCACAGTGTGAAGAGGAGGAGCTGCGGCAGGAGCCCCCTTGTTATAGGGTGAGCCCATGATCTCTTGTATCTGCAGATATTTAGGTATACCTCTGACTGGGGCCAGGAGGAAAGGTCCAGTCCTCTGACCACTAGGGCAGCCATGCTCCTGACCCCAGTCCCCAAAGGAGCCCAAGCCGGGCTGATCTGTCACTCCATGCGCACCATCCCATCCCTTCTCTTTCTCTGCGGAATGGACAGCACTTCCCCCGGGCAGAGCCCACAGAACACGTGCACGCACATTTCATGTAGGCTGGCCGGAGGCGTGGAAGCAGAAGGAGACAGTGACCCTCTTCCTGGTCACTGGGGGAGAGGTCAGTGTTTTAGAAAGTTAATGAGAGGATCCTACAAGTCATATTGTATTCGCTACCAACACGCTGCCTCGCACTGGGCACTTGGCACAGCAGGTTCTAAGTCTAGAGCCAGATGTAGATGGAAGCCAACAGAGGGCCCAAGGCCCCACAGCCCAAGTCCACGTTCCTCCCTCACTCCTTTACCTAGGCCCGTGGGAGCCCTGGCTCCTAGCTCCAGCTAGACTCTCACCTGGCCAATGAATGTGCCCAGAACCACAGAGCAGAAGATGAGATTGCGGAAGATGCCTGCGAAGACGTTCCTCTCCCCATGGATCTTGCGTGAGTTGATTTCATTGAAGAGCTGCATCAGCACGAACGTGTTGAAGACAATGGTGTAGTGCTGGCTGGGTGGGGAATGTAGGGGTGCGTTCCTCCCACTGTCGATGTCAAAGAATTTCTCACCTGGGGGAGAGAGGGGAAGCTCTGGGGGTTAAGTATGATCTCAGTGAGTGCTCGGGCTGAGTCAGAACACACTGGTGCGGCCACCCTGGCTGCTGATGGCTGGTGTCCATTCGAACTGGTCAGTACTCTATGCTGATGATGAAATGTTTTAAATGTTAGCCCTGATCTCAACACATCTGACCCTCTCTCGGCTTGCTCCGTCGATCTTTATCTTCTTGTGGTGCAGCACGGCCATAAAGCTACGTGCACTTGAGTCGGGCAGACTAGGCTTCAATGTCAGCACCACTATTATGTGACCTGTGCTTTCGTTTTATAATCTATGAAAAGAGGTGAAACGAAATTCTTAACAGAAGTACAGAAATAAGCATAACGCGCCCCGTAGGGCACCGAGGACACACACTCAGTGAGCGCAGCTGTGGCCACTCCTAGTCTTGCCCCCTTCTGCCCCTCTCCTCGAGCGTTCTCCGCGCCCCCACCCCCACACCTGGCTCACCGGCAAAGACAAGGAAAAAGATGACCGTGAGCTGGTAGATGGCATGGCCCAGGATGTTCTTCATCATAGTCCGTGAGATCAGAGGCTTATTTCGGCCATAGGGGCGGCGCTTCAGCAAAGAGTCTGTGGGAGGCTCTGTGGCCAGGGCCAATGAGGCAAATGTGTCCATGATTAGATTAACCCACAGCATCTGCACAGCTTTCAGTGGGGAATCCTGGTGGGAAGAAGAACCAGTCCTTTTAGCTCTCCTCGGACACCACCCTCACCTCGCTCGTCAGCCTCACCTTTGTCCTTGAGATGGCCTAGCTCCTGTTATCCACCTAGACTTAGGGTCTGGCCACTTATTAGCTCAGTGACCTTGAGAAAGATACTTAACCTCCTTGAACCCTGGGTTCCTCACCTTTAAAATGAGGATAATATACATACTTTGCAAGTGCCCACCACAGTGACTGACATGTATGTGCTAAATAAGCAGATAAATTATCACCATCCCACATGAGCAGATGCAGAGAGTAGACCACGTAGAGCTAACTCCTGCCCCAACAACCGGGGAAATTGTCCTCACTCCCCAGTAGACATACTGTACCCCATTGCCCATGTTTCTTTCTTTAAAAAAAAAAAGTTTCTTTGTTGATTTTAGAGAGAGAGAAAGGGAGAGGGAGAGAGAAACATTGATTGGCTGCCTCCTGTATGCCCCCTACTGGTGATCGAGCCTGCAACCCGGGCATGTGCCCTGACCAGGAATCAAACTGGCGACCTTTTGGTGCATGGGAGGACGCTCAACCAACTGAGCCGCACCGGCCAGGGCACTCCCCGTTTCTTAGCCCCTGCCCACCTCTCCCATTTCAGGCCCCTCCACATACACCCGCTTCACCTCAGTGATGCAGGCTCCGGTGAAGGCCACAATCACGGCCACCACGTTGACAGTGAGCTGGAACTGCAGGAACTTGGAGATACTGTCGTAGACGTTTCGTCCCCACATCACCGCCTTCACAATGCTGGTAAAGTTGTCATCTGTTAGGATGATGTCGGATGCCTCCTTGGCCACGTCTGTGCCCGCGATGCCCTGAGAGAGGAAGGGAAAGGAAAACGGAGAAACTGGATAAAGCGGAGCTCACCAGTATTCTGAACCCAGGCTCCGCTTCCTGACCTCCAAGAAGCTTCCTAAGGAGTCTAACACTAGAGGGCACACTAGCCACACAAATACTGAAGACCCGAGTTCTCTTTCCCAAAGGAAATGAAGGGAAAAGGTGTCACCATCACTTTACAGAAAGGAGGGCTGGGGTCTGATGCTGCCATCTTACTCCTGAACCCAGTTTGCAAATTATAGTTATTTTATAAAAAATTTTAATTTATTGATTTTAGAGAGAAGGAGGGAGAGAGAGAGAGAGAAAGATTTGTTGTTCCACTTATTTATGCATTCATTGGTTGATTCTTGTATGTGCCCTGACTGGGGATTGGACCAGCAACCTTGGGGTATTGGGGTGACACTCCAGCAACTGAGCTACCCAGTCAGGGCTACAGCCATCATTTTAAAAAACAATTTCTTCTTTATTGATTCTAGAGAGAGAAAAAGAGAGAAGGAGAGATAGAAACACTGATGAGAGAGAACACTGATTGGCCACCTCCTGGATGCCCCTCCCCCCCACTGGGGACTGGGCCCACAACCTGGGCTTGTGCCCTGACTGGGAATCGAACCAGCGACCTCTTGGTGCCTGGGTTCACGCTCAACCACTGAGCCACACCAGCCTTTCTCTCTTCCCTCCTACTCCCCCACCTTGGAAATAAAAGATAGGGAACAAGTCCTATCTATGCCACTTCCAAATAATTAAGCTTTGTTTGCCGCTGCCAGTACCTCATTTAAGTCCTTATCTCCCCCAGCTTTAAGTAGTAGTCCAGCAGCACAGATCAGAAATCTCACCCTTGTTCAAAACCTACCACCTGGAAACCACTGAAGGCGTTGACACATCAGGCATTGAAAGCTGTGCTTTAGAAACAGTGAACTTTCTAGTCTGGCCGTCAGAACCCTCCGTAAGCGAACCCTGAGGCACTGTCCAACCTGCTCTCACCCACCAGTTTGTTCACTATCCCCTGTACCCCTCACTCACCTTTAGAGCCCAGGCTCCACTTACATCATTCCCCCAAGTCTGGAACATCCTCTTCTCTCATCTACTTAAATCCTACCTACCTTCAAGGTTCCACTCGATTAAGCTCTACTTGCTTTGCATAGTTGTCCCTAACAGCCCAGCCCATACTCCTAGTCCATGTGTGCGACGTCTGTGACCCAGAGGAACTTCTTTGTTAACTTGGCTTGCATTAATAGATCATTGGTTCTCTTTACCTGGTACTATTATTTTTCTATCCAGATAGCAACAAATGAATATCTGTTAGACTATACAATTCAGTGTCCCCATTAAAGAGTTCTCTAATACATCCACACAATGCTGTACCGTGCACTGTAAAATGAGAAGGAGAAGAAAGGAGGAATCTCTCTATACTACTACCATGAAATAATCTCCCAGTGATGTCGCTAAGTGAAAACAGCAAAATGGAAAAGAGAGTGCATAGTATGTATATATAATATTAACAGACAGTATTATGATAAGTATCACTTATCTACGAGGGTGAGAAGGATAATCCAATAACTAAAGAAATAAGTTACCTGTGGGGTGAAGGGGTAGGCAACAGGGTGGAGGTAATAGGAATAAAAGCTAGATTTCTATGAACAACAGACCTTGTTTTCTATCTTTGACTTTGGAACTATATAACTGCTTTATACAAGTATAAAACAAAATTAAGTTTAAAAAGCAATCTCTAGCCCTGGCTGGTCTGGCTCGGTTGGTTAGCATGTTGCCCAGTGCACTGAAGGGTCACGGGTTCGATTTCCAGTCAGGACACATGCCTAGGTTGTAGGTTCGGTCCCAGGTTGGGGCGCGTGTGAGAGGCAACCAATCACTGTTTTTTCTCTTTTGCTTCCTCTCTCTCTAAAATCAGTAAAAAATATGCCTTCAGGTGAGGATTAAAAAAAAAAGGACCATATTTCATTTACCATTTAATAAAAATTATATATATATATGTATGTGTGTGTGTGTGTGTACCAATCTCTAAATTGGAAAGCAACATGATGTAAATGAACTGGTCCAATCAGTTCGTAGCACAATCACACAAAGAAAAATGTCCCAAATAATATGAACTATGAGAAAAACCTGTCCTGGCTGGTTTTGCTCAGTAGTTAGAGCGTTGGCCTGTGGTCCAGAGAGATCAGGGTTCGGTTCCCACTAAGGGCATGTATCTTGGTTGCAGTTTGTCCCCGGCCCTGGTTGGGCTGTGCGAGTGGCAACCACTCAATGTGTCCCTTTCACGTCGAAGTTTCTCTCTCTCTCTCTCTCTCTCCCTCCCACTCTATCTTAACAAAAAATGGAAACATGTCCTCGGGTGAGGATTAAACAAAGAAAAACCTTTAACTGCTTTTAGTAATTATATTAGTGTTGCTCTTTAAAAACGATTACATATATTTTTGAATAAAGGAAATAATTATGTTAATATCCTTAGGAATAAAAATTTTCAGTGTAAGAAATAAATAAAAAATCAGGAAAGTTGAAGATGGCTGTGGTGTAACAGAAGGCTGAATGCCCTTGCTCCCAGCCGTGGACTAAACTTACAGCTAAAATACTGCACAATCGGCTTAAAAACACAAGAGAAATAAAGCTGGACACATGTCGTCTAAGGAGCACTGAAGAAACACCATGGAGCCTGGTAAGAGAGAGGACATCTTCGTGGAAAGAGGGAGACCCTGGAGCTGGTGCTCAGCTCAGAGGCCCAAGTGATACTGGCTGCAAAGCTCCCTTCCTGTGGGAGTGTGGGCTCCATCCCACGCAGGGATCCCACACCCTGAACAGCAGAGACTGGAAGGAGAGCCCGTGTGGCATTGGGCAGAGGGGTCCAGGGGCGACTTGATGTGCCTGGGAGGCTGGGTCTGAACCTCCCCAGTGAGCACCTAATGGCACCGGATCCATCGGAACAGATTCGCCCCGGGCTCTGACCGCTGGAAAGGCTGCGCTGGCTGCGGTGTGTGGCTCCGGAATAGAAAGGGGCCTGAGGGCCGCACCCAGCAGTGACTTAAAGGGACCCTCTGTTTTCCTGAAAGGTGTACAGAGCCCCAGACAGTAACTGGGTCGTGTGGGGTGTGGAAGGGGCAGAGGATGCTCCCACACCCAGAACAGGACTGGGACCCATTCCCCTACCCGTGGAGCTGGTGACAGGGCAGATGGGGGATCTGTGGCCCACACTGAGGAGAGCTGGGAATGCGAGAGGAGCTGGGTCTCTTGGCCCAGCTTTACTGAGACCAGCTCTGCGGGGATAGGATCCTGCATGGGGCTGACTTTGTTACCCCTTCTGCTTGGACCTGTGGCACAGGGGTGCCGGGCCTCACAAAGCAGTTTTTTGTTTTGTTTTGTTTTGATTTTTGAACGGCACCCCCCAGGGAAGGCTTGTGTTGGGGAGACAGAGCTGGGCTTTGTGCCTGCATCGTGGGAGGCTGATCCAGGCACCCTGAGAGTTCAGCCAGCCGGTCCTGAGAACGAGGGGTGGAGCATGTCTACCCCTCCTGCAGGCTGGGAACACCACCCCCAACAGGAAAGGATGTGGATCAGCGCTCTGAAGCCCCAATACTCCTGCAGGGCGCTGTTCTGTGGGGATAGAGAGAACAGCTCAGAGGAGGTTATTCTAAGAGTAAGAGCCTCAGAGACTATTGTCTGGGACTAGGAGAAAATGCTTAGTCCCTCTCTGGGCGGGCAACATGCTTACTACCAGAGACTAGGATCAATCCCACTAAGCCCAGGGCAGTTGAAATTTCTGCAGAAAAGGCAGTAGGTTGTATCCAACCTGAACCTGCACCAGGGAACCCTAGGGGGGAACTAGAGTTGGAAGATAGAGACTGAGGAGTTTGGCTTTGAAGCAGAGATTAATTTCCCCTCGTTAGTGCCTGACAGCATAATCTCTAAGCAGGGGGCCTACTAGCCCTAGCTACACTAGCCTGGCTCCACCCTGAAGACTCTCTTAGGAGGAGACACTGGAGGAAGACCAGGCAACCTCAGGGGAAGGCGGGGAGCTGGCAGGTGGAGGCAGTCCTCAGAGAGCCCCAGACTGACCACAGCTACAACAGGATGCCCAGAGCCAAACCTGGCCAGCTCCTGACACTGGCTGACACTAAAGCACCTCCCAGGAGGCCTGAAATCATACAAAACAGTGAGCCTCATACAACACAAGCTGCCCAGACAGACTTCACTTAGCTGGCTTTAAAATGTTTGTTTGTTTGTTTTTTGTTCTTTTTACAATATTTTCTATATTTCTTTTCTGCTTTATTGGTTTGATATTACTATTGTTAAGATTTTGCTCTTCTCTCCTGTTTCAGTCATTATTGGCCTCCTTCCAGTCCTTTATCTTTGTCCCCCCTTTTTCTTTCCCATTCTTTTTTTTTTTTTTTTTTTTGCTTTACCTTTCTTTCTCTTCTGTTGGCCTCTGAATAACATTTTTCTGTCTTTCCCTGTCTTCTTGCCTTACTTTACTGCTCTCCTCTTCTACTCGCTACTCTTACTTTTTGCTCTCCCTTCTTTCCTCTCAGAATATTTTTTGTTCCCCCTTTCTCTTCCAGTATCCTATTCATATTTTTATTTTACTATTAGCAATATTATATTTTTCTCTCTTTCTTTTTTTGTTTACAATTTGTGTTCTCTTTTCCCACTATCTATAGGAGAGCCCAAATAACCTACAAAAGGGTCACTACTAGAGCATACAGCTCAGTGGTACAAGGAGACCACACCACTGGGTCCCACAGAACATTTACTACAAAAACCCACTACACAAAGAGTGGGAGTCATAGCAAGTATATCTAAAACAGATACAAACACAAAGAGACAACTAAAATGGGGAGACAAAGAAATAACCCCCAAATAAAGGAAAAGGAGGAAACTCCAGAAAAAGGCCTAAATGATGTAAGCAATTTATCAGATATAGAGTTCAAAGTAATGGTTATTTACTCAAGAACAAGATTGATGAACCTTTAACCAGACTCATTAAGAAACAAAAAAAGAGAAATGAAATGAAAGAGGTAATATAACAACATACCACAGAAATACAAAGGATTGTAAGAAAATACTATGAACAAACTATATGCTAACAAATTGGACAACATGGAAGAAATAAAAAAATCCCTAGAAACATACAATTTTCTAAAACTCAATCAGGAAGAATCAGAAAACCTGAACAGATTCAATAACAACAAAATTAAAGCTGTAAAAAACAAAACAAAAAAAACTCCCAGCAAACAAAAATCCTGGACCAGATGGCTTCACAGGGAAATTTCACCAAAAATCCAAAGAAGAACTAACACCTATCTTCTTCAAACTATTTTTAGAAATTCAAGATGAAGGAAGACTTCTAAGCTCTTTTTATGAGGCTAGCATTATCCTAATTCCAAAACCAGATAAAGACACTATAAAGAAAGAAAATTATAGGCCAAAATTATAGTGAACATAAATGCTAAAATCCTCAAAAAAAAAAAAAAAAAGAAGGGGGGCATCTGTAATATTCTCAACAATAAAGATTTAAAAACTAAGGAAAGTTAAATAAAATTAGGAAGTTAAAGCTCTATAACTATACATTTGAGTTTGAAATACCAATATGAATCCACAAAGTATTTTACTTTAAAACACAGAAACACAAAAGAAACATGAGCCATATTTCCTAGCTTTGTCCACTGATAAGGCCTAGAAACAATAATTTGCTCAGTAGTAAGGAACATCCTGACACTTAGATTGTGTTCCCTAAATACCACTTTTCACTGACATGAAGCCGGGCTCCTTTGAGAACTAGATGGATGGTTCCAGATCCAGGACAAGAAGTACACGTGATTCCTCTGAAACATCTTATCATATAAGAAAGCAAGGAAGCTATTAGATACAGGGGGTTCTATAAAAAATCACTCAGTAGGGCCCTGGCCGGTGTGGCTCAGTTGGTTGGGTATTGTCTCATGCACCAAAAGATTGCCAACTCAGTTCCCTGTCAGGGCACATTTGGGGTTGCCGGCATGAATTAAAAAAATAAACAATTCCTGGTCACCTTTGGAGGATCCCTGAAAGTCAACTAATTATTTTTAAAACTGGTGAATAAAGAAAAAGAATCAAGCATTTAACCTTTCATGCAGGAGGTGAACTTCAGAGTAACCAAAGAATTGATGAGGGAATATTTCTTTTTCTAGAATATTCAAATTAATAAGAAAAGAGAACCAGAACATCATTTTGTAGCCCTAATGATCCAATCTGTTTGCTTCTACAATGAATTACTAGTTTATAGCCAATATAAGGAACAAAAGAACATGTTTTGGAAGTTTTCTTTTTTTTTCTTCAATCCTCACCCGAGGATATTTTTACATTTATCTTCAGATAGAGTGGGAGGAAGGGAGGGGGAGAGAAAGAGAGAGAGAGAAACATCAATGTGAGAGAGGCACATTGACTGATTGCTACCCACACATCCCCAACCGGGGGCGGGGACAAACTGTAACCGAGGTACATGCCCTTGGCTGGAATCGAACTCGGGACTCTTTGGTCCACAGGCCGACATTCTAACTGTTGAGCCAAACTGGCTAGGGCGGAACAAAAGAACATGTTAAAGGACACTACAGGGCTAAAAATCAACAAAATCCACACTGTAAGATATTCTATGTAGACAAACAAACTGGGTCCTTCAACTAAACAGCTGGAAGAAAAAGATGGGAGGGAATTGTGCAGAGAAGAGTTAACACAGCAGCCGGAGACTGCTGTCCTTAGAAAGGCCTGTTTGCTAGGTTGGCAGCTGGAAACTTGGCTCTCAGACAGCTCCCGGTCAACAATTAACTGAAAATTAATTAGTGGTTCATTGTGCCCAAACAATATGGTTTCTGAGCACCTGCTTCCCCTTTGGGAGTCTGAAATCACAGTGGGTGCTGAGTCTCTGCTGGGCTTCTCTGGGCAGAAAGATCCCATGTGCTGCTGCGTTTTCGTTGCTGGGGGAACGCGTGCTTGGTGTGACCACTCACTTGGGAGAGAGCATACGGAAGCCTGCACGCGGATCCCTGACTGCCTGTGACTGTCCCCATTACTGTATCCTTACTGTACCAATGTACTGAATTTTAGCCATGAGTACAGCTATACTCCGAGTCCTGTGAGTCCTTCTAGTGAACCCACAAATGTCAAGGGTGGTCTTGGGGACTCGACACAGGGATCCTATGGGATCAGTGGTTCTCAAACCTGAGGGTGTGTCTGAATCACTGAGGGCCTATTGCTGGGCCCCAACTCCAAGCTTTCTGACCGAGCAGAGCTGAAACGGGGCCCGACAATCTGCATTTCTGTGCGTTTCCAGGTACACCTGGAAGGAGGAGCCCACTTTAAGACCTGCTGCTATAGATGAAGATAGTTAAGAGACCTATCAAACAACTGCAGTGGATAGATCTTATTTGGACCAATTGTGAAAACAGTATTTATGAAGCATTTGGGGAAATGTGAACTGACTAGGTGTAGCAAGAAAGCACTTTTTAAAAATGAGATGATGCTATTATGATTCTTGTAAATATATTTTACTGATACATACCTATCTTTCCGGGACACACACTGACTTTTGTGCGTGGATGAAATGACGTGATGTCTTGGATTTGCTTCAGAATGATTCAACTGGAGATGGAAGGCATGTGGTGCAGGGGTGGTGGTGAGGGGTTAGTGAAACAACATGGGCCAAATGCTGGTAACTGATGCTGGGGGACAGGTGCAGGGAGATTGATCAGACAATTCTCTCTATTTAGTATATTCTTCAATCTCCTAGGGCAAACACTTTTTTGCTGTTGTTGTTGTTAAACAGAGCACCCTAAAGACAGATTACTTCTTGGATCTCCTTCACTGCTTAAAGATCCCCAACATGTCCCTGAACATCAGAATCAACAAGTATTTCTGGGACCCACCCCAGATGTCAACGCATCAAGATATCCAACTGTGGAACCTTGGGATACGTGACTGTAAGTGAACTTTCCAAGTGGTTCTGATGCTCCTGTCTCCCAAGTGGAAAGCAGAGTGACGAACAGTGCTGGCCACGGGGTTCACATTCCGTCCAGGACACGCGTGTTCTACAGTGTGCCTCGACGGGGCACGTTACCATGTCCACGGGCACGTTTGCACCAGTCTCGTTCTCCTGGGTGAGGGTGCTTCCTGACTCACTTGCTCTGCCACCTGCCCTTCATCCCCGATGGCTCCCCATGGGCACACATGTCACTGGCTGCGTAGGCAGGAGGGACGGAGTCAGAGCAAAGAGCGGAGTGTGATGTGCGGGGACAGGAAGCCCGTCCTGGCTTCCGGATGGGGAAGGCAGCCTCCAGTCGGACAGACATGGTGCCCAGCTGCTTACCATGGCAAAACCAACATCTGCTTTCTTCAGAGCTGGCCCATCGTTTGTGCCATCGCCAGTGACAGCCACCACCTGCCGCTGGTCCCCAATAGTGCTGTCAATGATGCCTGGGAGAAACAGACACACCTCAGTCAGCCCACATGTGCCATCGGAGGCCATTTGGCAAGCTGGTTCCCACACAAGGTGCTTTACTAGTGTTCCCTGATCCCTGCCCTCCCCTCCCTCCTACTGCCTCCTTTCTTCCCTCTGCTGGAGGCTCTGTACGGTCACCCCAGGGCAGGACATTGTTTCATGGGTAGCACTCAGCAAAGAAAGTCTGTCCTGGCCAGACACCATCTGGGGCCCTCAGGGGGCTATTAGCTGGTCCGAAAGCACCACATGATCTGCAGGCGGAGACCTGGGGTCAAACCGCACCACTTCCACTTACCGGCTGGGCAATCTGGGTGCGTCCCTTGTCCTTCCAGCCTCAAACTTAGTTATTTGCAAAATGGAAATAGTTCCACCTCCCCCGCCTAAGTTCATAGTCGTGTTGGCCAACAACATACAGGGTGGGCAAAAGTAGGCTTACAGTTGTGAGTCCGTGAAACAGTTTATTCTCGTATTATTACTTATGTCTTATGCCCACCAGGGGCTCAGCTCTTTGCTAAACTGTATGTTCTCCCCCATGAGCCAAAGAGCTCTCCCAGGACCACCCGATTCAGGGCAGCAAAGTTGCTTTGGCTTGTGGAGCTGAGGGGTCCCCGCCCTGGCCTGTCCTCCTGCACCCCAGCCACCTGTCCAGGAACCGATCTCACCTTTCACCAGCGTGTGCTTGTCAGTGGGGGAAGATCGTGCCAGCACTCGAAGCTTCGGCCAGACCTTGTCCAGCTTTTCCTGCTCTACCTGCAGACACCAGACCACACGTGGGTCAGTCAAGCTCGGAACAGCCACCCAGGAAAACCTTCCTTTTCCACTCCGAGCTGCTGGGAGGCCTGGTACTCCACGCCAGGGGAGCGTGCTGGCCTCCAGGGCGGGTGAAGCAGCCCACTCCATCCCCAAGGGCGGGTCCACGGACGGTGACCACTCAGGGCCCTGCTTGTCTTCGCTCTCTTCCAACCCCCTGCCTTGGAGCTGACGCCCTATCTCCTAGACCCTTGGCAGGAGGGGAGCCCGGATAGCTGTTGGCTCAGGGAGCGAAAGGGGTGCCTCTGAGGTCTTAGGTCTGATCTCTACACAGACCAGGAAGCTTTGGTCTGCTCCGCACCCAGACCACGTCCTCCTACAAACCTGTGACTGCTGGTCACAGGGCAGTGACAGGACCAATGAGGTAGAGGGAAGTCAGCACAAAATCATCCCACGACTGAAAAAACAGGCGGAAGGAGAGGGCACTGTCTCAGAAGCCAGCGTGGGGACGGAGAGCATGAGAAGAAGGCTCTTACTTTGACCACCTGAGCAGCTCTGGTGGAGGGGGTGCTTCACCGCGAACAGACTTTAGATTAAAACGCGCCCACTGTCGCCCACAGATGTCTTACTCCAGACCTGGCCCTCCCTTGCCCAGGGAGGCCCCGCTGCCTCTCACCGGGACCCACCTCGCCCTTCTCGTTGCGGATGAGTCGGTTGAATTCTTTGCCTTCCAGGCACAGGAAGTCATCCCCAGGCGTCAAGATGCCGCACTTGGTGGCAATGGCCCGGGCTGTGTTGATGTTGTCTCCTGTCACCATTCGGACAGTAATGCCAGCTCGTTTGCACTTGGCGATGGCGTCTGGTACCTGTGCAGGGTGCGGCAAGAGGACAGGAGAAGCTGGGGCTGGTGATGTGGTGGGCAGCCCCTGTTCGCTGTTCCTTCACTGTGCACGGGCGAGAGGCACCCTACAAGCAGTGCCATGGGGTACAGGCTAAGTTTGGTCACTTTTACATTGCTTGGTGCCACCTCGCTTCTGCCCTACCCATGGTACTCACTTCAGAGTCGGCCTCACTGCACCATGAGTTGAGGGGAACTTGCTTCAGGACCAGGTGTAAAAGCTTACTCTCCTGCTTACAGTCTGGACTCCTTAGCAGGGCACATACGGCCTTCTGTGATGTGGCCACTGTCTTCCTTTCTAGCAGAAGTTTTCACCACTCTCTACCCTCCCTGGCCCACGCTCCAACCATATCAATGCTTTGTAGGTTCCCAAACGCATGATACCCACCCTTTCATGCTTTTGGGTCTTGATCATTGATAGTCTGTCTGCCTGAACTTCTAAGAAGCAGAGACTTTTCAATTTCCTAGTGTCGGAAATAGTGTTCAGCTATTTTGGGGTGAAGTGGGGGGTCAATAAAATGTTGAAATGAAGGAAGTTAAAGAGAAAGCTGATGCCCTGGTTAACTCAGCCTCCTGACCGTTCTTAAGAACTGGCTGATATGCCCCAGCTGGTGTGGCTCAGTGGATAGCGTATCAGCCCACGCACAGAAGGGCTGTGGGTTTGATTCCCCATCAAGGGCACATACCTGGGTTGCAGGTTGATCCCTGACCCCAGTTGGGGTACATGGGGGAGGCAACCGATGGATGTGTCTCTCTCACATTGATGTTTCTCTCCCCCTCCTTTATTTCCACCCTCCTTCCCTTCCACCCTCTTTAAAATTCAATGGAAAAAAATATGCTCAGGTGAGGATTGAAAGAAAAAAAAGACCCCGATGATAAGCCTGGTGAAACCTATGCTTCTCACCCCCAGACAGCATTAACCGTAGGAATGGCACCTTCCACCCGTTCAGGCCTCTGCAAAGCTGAACACACAGAAGCAGCTAGAAGCACTGGGTAACTTGTGGGGGTCAGCGCCAGAAGCAGAACCAGTACCCTCATTCCCATGACTGCTGGTGCCTTCCCAATAGGTCACACTGGGCCTGTGTGCGGGCCAGGGGCTGCTGGGAGACTTCCACTCATGTGTCTTGCCCTTTCTCCAACCCAGAGTCTCACCTCTGGGCGCACAGGGTCCTCGATGCCCACCACGGCGATGCAGGTCAGTTCAGTGAGGATTTCGCTCTCATTGTCCCACGGGGGCTCGACGTCATTGAAATCTCGATAAGCTAAGCAGATAGTCCGGAGTCCCTCGCTGGCCATGGGCTCAATGACGGTGCGCACCATCTCATCTCGGTCCTTATTCTTGAAGGGCACGGCTTCTCCTTTCTTGTCCAGGATTCGATTGCACCTGGGGAGGTGCACAGTCAGAAAGCAGCCGCCCCTCCCCCCAGGGGGTCTCCACAGTCGTTCCTAGACGTTCTGGCAAGCCTGCATGGCTTCTAAAAACACTGTCCCATGGCCAGAGATCTCTATCCACCGCCCAGCTGGGTCCCTGCTTCTAAGGGGGGGTGGCCCCAGCTGGGGTGGCCTAAGACAGGCAGGCAGAGGCAGAGCTGGTCATTCTGTGGCATCTGTTCCTACTCCTGTGCAAAGCAGTGCCAAGAGTCACTTCTGGACTACCTGCTCTTGTGAACTTCTCAAAGACAGACAGACAGACAGACAGTTTCCATCCTCGGTGTCTAGAATAGTGCTCAGTGGATAGGGTGTGCTCAACAAGAATGTGTTCATTGACAGAGGTGGCCAGAGCCAAGCTGGGGTACTGGTTATTTCAGTCACTGGCCCTACACCCAGGTAGATTGACTGTTAATGACCTGTGGATAATCTAGCCACTTTGATTAGGTTATACGACTTCCCTGTAATTAGAATTGAGAAGGAGCAGGAAAAGAAAACACAGAGTTGACGTGTCTGGTGCTTGCTACGTGTAAGGTGTTCGCATACACTGGATCATTTAATTACAGTGACCCTGGGAGATGGGCAGGTGTTACTGTTTTCAGGTTAGGAAGCTCCAATCTGAATCCTGGCTGTGCTACTGTTAGCTGTAACTTCGCTGTAGTTCTGTTTTCTCATTTGTAAAACAGGGGTGACAACAGTATCTGCCTCACTGAACTGTGAGGAGTCAATAAACGGGGCCACCTAAGGTACTTAAAGACGATGCTTGGCCTAAGCAAAAGCTCAGACAACAGGAGGCTTGTGCATCCTTCAGTGGGTTCGCGGAGGGCATGTGCCTAGACTTCGCGAGGGAGGAGCTTGCAGGGAAGAAGGGGGGAGGGGTCCTCACTTGCGCAAGATGATCTCCGAGGCGCCCTTGCTGTACATGCGGAAGCCGCCGCCCGGGTTCTGGATGACGGTGCTCATGGACTTGCGCACCGAGTTGAAGGTGTACACCTTGTACAGCTTCTCCTCGGGCACCTCGCTGCGCACCGCGTGGTAGTCCTGCTTCAGGTCGCTGACGAAGCCCAGCAGCGCGCACTCCGTCTTGTTGCCCACCTGCCGCGGCAGGCCGCCCTCCTTCTCGGGAGGCTGGAGAGAAACGACTGGAGAGGACTCCGCCGCCAGGGAGGGGCTCAGGGAGGGGAGGACGCCCCCCAACACGTCCGCATCAACACCCAGCGCCCAGGGGGTGGGGTGGGAGGAGGCACTGGCTTTTCTCAAGGACAGGCGGACAGTGGTCAGTGTGACGGGTCCCTGGGCCATGTAGGTTACTGGTTTTAGTCTGCCCTGGGGTTGATCTTACCCTATGTGGGTCTTATTCTAACATGCTCTCCGTTTCTGGAAAGTGAGCACTTGACTCCTGATAAGCCCAGGTCTTCTATCAGCGTGAGGTTTCTCCCCGAGGGACTGCCTTCACGTGGTAATGGGAGGGCGTTTCATAGCCGTGGGTTCCTACCTGTCACCCCCAGCTGCCACCCCCCAATCTACTCCATGGCATATTCCCTAGCTTCACCCCAAACACCAGCGGGGAAGGCGAAGTGGGATGGCAGTTCAGGCAGCGTGAACAAGAGATGACTTGTCTCAGAGACAACGAGTGTTCCCCCAAACGCCCATTCTGAATGTCCAAAGGAAGAGCTTACCAGGATCTTGGAGGTATAGGCACTGTTGATAGAAATGCCATTGACAATGAGGTCCAGGACCTTGGGCACGAAGGTATCAGGGCTTGGGATCTGATGGTAATGGGTGTCTCCAACAAACGCTTGTACCACAGTCATGCGGTTCATGGTCAACGTGCCTGTCTTGTCAGAGCAAATGGCGGTGGCATTGCCCATTGTCTCACAAGCATCTAGGTGCCGTACCAGGTTATTGTCTTTCATCATTTTCTACAGAGGACAAAAGAAAAGACTTGAGAGGGGACCAACTGAGTTCCCCCAAAATAGATAGGTCAAAGGCCATTTCCTAGCCAACATCTCTCCATAATTCATCCTCTTGTCCCACAGAGGAACGCAGGATACTATTCTCGTGAATCCTCTTTAGATTCCACTAGGTCATTTAAACACTGATGCAACTGTCATGATGGTCTTCCACGGGGCCAGGGACCTGTGCTCTTATGAGGTGTCGCCCAGAGTCTACAGAGGGTAGATGGCCTGTGCTGTCACTAAAGGCTATGTGGCCCTCTCCCCGCCCACCTCTGTCCCAAAGGAGGAAGAAGTATCATTGTAGACTCACCTTCACAGAGTAGGCCAGTGAAATGGTGACAGCCAGTGGCAGTCCCTCTGGCACAGCCACCACCAGCACAGTGATACCGATGATGAAGAACTTGACAAAGTACTGGATGTAGATGGGGGTGCACTCGGCTAGCCACGGCCTGCGCTTTATCACGAAGTTGTCAATCACAAAGTACAGAATCAGGATGAGAACGGTGATCGCAGACATGATCAGACCTGAACAGGAAACAAATCCCGTGAATCCCGGCTCCAGGCATTCCTGGGAGCCCAGGCAGAGATGGATCGGTTTCAGTTATATCGCCTTTGTCACCGATTTTTAAAACTGCGACCTCCTACCCGGCTTGTGTGGCTCAGTGGATTGAGCGTTGGCCCATGGACTGAGAGGTCCTGGTTTGATTCCCAGCCAGGGCACATGCCCGGGGTTGTGGGCTCAGTCCCCAGCAGGGGGCGTGCAGGAGGCAGCTGATTGATGTTTCTCTCTCACATTGATGTTTCTCTCTCTCTCTCCCTTCTCCTCTTTCTAAAAATCAATAAAAATATTAAAAAACAAAAAACTCTGCTTCTTCCAGGAAGTCATATTAAAGTTCTCTACCCATTCTCTGTTGCTTGCATACGATAGTGTAGGGGCAAAGACACAGGTTTTGCATTCCAGAGACACAGGTTCTAGTCTCAGCACTGCACTGATTTGACTGTCTTTGGCCTGGTTTTTGGCCCTGTCCGGGCCTGTTTCCTCATGCATAAATAAGGGGGCTGGTCTGGTGTTTTGAAACAGCATTCTATGATCCTATCTCAGACCTACCCTCTTCCCACGAGTGACAATGTAGTGACCATACATGCCTGTTTCCAAGTAGTTTATCAGTGTAGACTTTTCCCGTAGCAGCCCGAGAATGCCAGGCCATTCCTCAACTTGGTTACAGCGATGCCCTTATGGTGTGAGCATGGCACCCACAAGACCAGCCCCCAGCACAGGGCCTCCCAGCCTTTCTCCTCACATAGATAAAAGGCGACAATACTGGCACATATTTAGATAGTGCCTACTATGGCTCAGCAAGCACTTCGCATATACTAACTTGCCTCATCCTCACAACGATCCTGTGAGATGTGACAAGTATCATCCCCTTTCTGAGGAAACTAAGGCACACTGGTGGGGGACCAATCGTCCTGGTTTGCAGACTGAGCGGTTTCCTGGGATGTGGGAGAGCTCAGGAGGAAAAGAAGTCTTAAAATTCTCACTTTCAGTTCTAAAATTGAGACAGTCCCAAGCTAACTGGGATGGCTGGTCAACCTACACCAGGCAAATGGAAGAATCTGCTCAAAGTCTGTAAACAACTGGCCCGGCGGCTCCCACTGTCCTGGGCTCAGTATCTGAGCAGAAGTACTTATATCTATGGCACAATATCTGCCTTAAACCATAGTCTGATTTGGGTACTTTTCCTGAGGGCCTGATGAGCAAGGCTGGAGGTGATCAATGAGTATATACACACACACACACACACACACACACACACATATTTTGCATTTTGCTTTATCAGGCTCAGGGCTAAGGTGAGGCAAACAAGGTACCTAGGGTACAAAACTGAAGAAGGCATCACTCTGAGGGTGGCACAAGCCACCTCATGTGCTTCATCCCAGTCCTGGCTGGCTTGAAACATAAAACAACAGAGACGCCTGGCCAGCGATCAGGAGGCGTGCACTTCCCATAGAACAACACAGGGATCAGGGGAAACAGGAAGGGTCAGGTGGAGTATGTTCCATGTTTCAAACCGGTGTGCCAGGCTCAATGCCTTGATTCCGCACCTGCAATTCATTTCATCCTCCATGTATAGTTTATATTCAAGAGATTTCATAGTACTTAAAATTAGCTAGGTATAAAAGAACAGGCCAGACAAATGCTCGTAGAACTCTCTGCGATGTTTAAAATGTTCGCTGTTCATACTGTCCAATATGGTAGCCACTAGCCACATGTCACTATTCATCAAACAAAATAAGGCTAGTGTGAACTGATGAACTGAATGTTTACCTGTATTTCATTTTAACCAGTTTAACTAGAAACAGCCAAGCAGGGTTAGCGGCGACTGCTGTGGACAGCACAGATTCCAGCTATTCCGTGTACCTAGTGGGTCAGCGGTATTGGCCGCGCCTGGGGCTTGTTAGAAATGCAGGCCCCGCCCAGACCTCCTGACTCAGACACTGTGCTTGAACAAGGTTCCAGGAGAACTGTACACACAGGGCTGTACTAAGCGAGACTATGACTGTCATACACAGAGGGGTGGGGTCAGGAAGGAATTAAACAGTGCTACAAGAACACACCTGGAGGGGTATGTCCACGAATGAGCACTCTTCCTTTCGTTCCCTGCTCCAAACCCTCGCCCCATCCCACCACTGAAAGAATGTGGAGGGCAGACGATGTAGCGGCAAGTCACGGAGAAGCCACTTCCTCCCGCTATATGCAAGAGCACCTTCAGTGACCTCTCCTCTGGAAACAGCCTGTGCACTGCTTCCTTTCCCTCCTGGTCCTTATTTTGAATTTACAGCTCTGTGTCTGACCTGATGCTACTATTCTGTCAGGAGACTTCCTCCAACAAACAGCAGCCTTCTCTGCCCTTAAGAAAGTCACAAGCCCATACATGTGACAGGTAAGCAGTTATTAAAGTCTCCCTTCTGTTAATAATGTACATCTCCCATGTTGTGATATAAGTTCTAAACTTCCCATTTGTTTGGATGAAAGAGACCTCAGTGTTTAACACTTATACATGGGACCACATTTCTCTCCGAAAGCCCGGGGAGTGGCCAAGGGGTGGCAGAGGCAGACGCGGCTGCCGACACTGCACCAGCCACGGGGATTTTGGCTTCTCTGCCAGAGCCGGTGGTGTGGAGAGAAAGGCACCAAAGCAGTGAGAACCTGGTCCGGCCCTGATTAACCACACCCGGAAGGCCCCACTCCACTCACCAGCTTTCCCGATCTGAACAGCCAGACGCGTCAGCTTGCCCTGCAGCACTGACTTCTCCTTCTTGGGCACCTTGACCACCTTTTTCTCCTTTTCCTCATTGTCCATCCCCTCCTGGCTGTTGAGTGGCTGGATTTCCAGGGCCACTCCATCCTGGGTCTTTGCTAGGGTGTGCACACAAATAGGACAGGTGAGCAGGCCAGGTAGTAGCCCTGAGCAGCAGGCAGGTGGAAACCAAAACACCCTTCTGTCTTCTTCCTCGATACACCTTGGACCCCTGACATCAGTCCTGACCACCCTCAGCCCATGCCAGACAGGGTGCTTGCCTTCAACCCTCTATTAGGGCCATGGGATAATATTCTAACAACTGGAGGTAAAACAGGGGTGCAGTTGGGGTATGGATACCCTCAGATGGTGCAGCTTCTTGGCCCCATTTCAGAGCGTCAGGCCAGGTTTATTCTAGTGAGAGGATTAGTCGTGCCACCAAGGGCTGTTACCAACAGCCGCCCTTCCTAGAATCTAGCGCTACAATAGTGAACCTTTATTGCAGAGAGGGGCTGAAGGAGAAGCCTGGCAGATGTTTCCAGGCATAAGGGTCCTAATCTGCTCTGTTCAAAGGTCCATCTCTCTCTCTGCACAGACTGCCAGGGAAGAAACACAGACCCCATACACAGGGTGTTCTCTTGTTCCTTCTTTTATCAGTTGAACAGCAGGGGAAGGAAGCCCCTGACAAAGGTAGGGAGACAGAGTGAGACATGGGGTTAATCTTATGGGGGAGAGGGAAGAAGCTGGTGTGAGAGACCCCCCGAATAAGAGAAAGAAGGGATAAAGACAGACCTATAAATCCATTTTGCTTTTTAAAGAAGCATTAAAGAGACCTACAATGAAAGAATTATTTCTGTCCAGCCCTGGTTCTCCAGTGTGACGACTTTATCTTTAAAGACTACTATGATATGGGCGGCAGAGCAAACAGATTTCTAGGAGCTGTCTGGGGGAGCAGTGCTCTCTGGCTTCCACACTCTTCACCTTCCCCCTGCAGAGCTTGGCCCCCTCACATAGGATGACCTTCCTGAGATACTGTCTTCTATTGTGTGTGTCAGACTCACAAACAAGACGGAGACGGATGTCAGCACAGCCACCAAAAAAGAAACACACATCAGATCAGGGGGAAGAAAACAGACTGTGGAAAGAACAAAGAAAGAGGTAGGGAGAGAGGCACAGAGAAAAGACTCTCTCCAAGCACCTGAGACCAGAGAAGGATTCCAGACCAGAAGAGAACATCGATGAGGAAGCTAGCAAGAGGACGGTGCAGGGACTGCCCACCCCAACACCCTCCACCATGAGGACCCTGAAGTCTTCCAAGCCAGAAACTGATGATTAAATCCAGCCTAGGGTAATGAGGCAAAGAGTTCAGCACCCTGGGAAGAACAACAGATCAATCCTACACACGCCCCAAGAGAAACCTTGACATGAGGTTCCCTGAGCCAACAGCAGAGGGTGCTGTTGTTCCATCTTGGCTTGAGACTGGGCCCATGAGCCCACAGCAGAGAGTGCTGTTGTCCCATCTTGGATTGAGACTGGGACCTTGCGCCCACCCCCAAATCTCTGCACCTTCCTCAGGATGAGGCTTCTGGGCCACAGCAGCAGATAACAGATTTATGGCGAGGAAAAGGGGGAAGGCAGATGGCCTGGGAAGGTCTGGTTTGAGTGTAGTCAGGTAGAGATGGCAAATGAGTGGGTGGACAGGTTACCTTTGTTGCGATTTTCAGGGACTCCTTGTTTTTTACCTGTTTAAACAAGAAAGAAAAAAGTGGGGTGGAGACCCAAGGTGACTATTAAGAGATCAGATATCCAATTTGTGGGTCCTGCTCAGAGCCCCGAAAGGGTGACAGCACAGGGGCTGAACGGCAGGGAAGGGAATGTGAAAGAAACTCGCATCTCTGCCCACATCCCTTCTCACTCGGGGTTCTCACGGAACCACGGGATATGGACCACACTGCTCACGCAGTCAAGTGCACGCGCACACCCAAGCTGCTCTCGGCTGGAGCACCTGCTGCTCGGAGGGTGCTCCTGACCTGAGGCACAGCCCTTGGAGAAATGGGGTGGGGGTCAGGAAGCAAGAGGTCTGAACTGTTTCTGCCTGCCGGCTAAGGCTCTGCAGAGTGTCTCCGTGTCGCTTGGCCAGCACCAGGCCAGCTTCCTCCTCATTCGTCTGCAGGAGCTGCAGAGACGAGCAGTCTAGTTCCTGAGGGAGGGGCTGTTTCCTTTCCACCCACTGCTCTCCACTAAACAGCCCGATGGTCCCCGTGCGAGGGGTAGAGCCCTTCTCTCCTTCAAGGGAAGAAGGAATGCTTCGGGAAAGTGGTAGGTTTGGTTTTACTCTTTTTTTCCTCATTTGCCTTCTGTGTTTCCTTCCTTCAAGTACAAGTAAACGGCAGGGACAGGACTGACTTCACAGTGGACGTTACCTGTTGGCTCGCTCTCGAGCGAGTCTCTCACTGACAGCCCATGGTTTCAGCAGGAGTCCAGTTTCATCTCCTGGCCAGTTTTCTCTTGGCCCTCACGCCCCCGCCCCCCACTATATTGGAAGAAGAAAGGGATGGGATCGGAGGACTACACAGAGGGCATTTAGGACCAGAGCTCTTGGCCAGCTCTTTGGGGGCAGGCTTTATAACTCACCTCTTCACAACCCACCAACAGGCACAGGGATGGAGACTCAAGTGCAACCTGATTTGGGAGCCTAGAGCCGGGATCAGGCTTTCATCAGAGCACCCTGGAGAGCCAGGGAGGACATCTTTACCTCCGTGTTTGGATACGCGCACTCTTCATCCAGCCACATCTGCTCCCTCGATTCCTGGTTTGTCCGTGGGGACAGGAGGGGAGAGAACCTCATTCCGAAGCCCCTTACCTTTCTTCTTCTTCTCCTCTTCTCCCTCACTGGCCCCCAAGAGAGTAAAGATGATTCCAGTCTGGGAGTTGACACCCACAGCAGTCACTACCATCCGACCAGAACCTTCCATGACATGGGTCCCTGTGTGAGAAAGGAGAAGAGAGGAGTGTTGTGTTTGACACCTAGCCATGCTCTGGTGCAAACACAGACTCTCTTCCTCCCCTATAGATGATGATGTACTCAGCAGAGAAGGAAAAGGTCAAGAGTTGGGACCATTTAACATAGAACAAGCAAACTCCCCTGCCCCCCTTCCAGCAGAGACCTCCCAGGGCCCCTACAGCACTAGCTTCACAGAGAACTTCCTTTAGGTTACCTTGTATCCTTGTATTGAACCCACTAATACACCACTGCCCCAGCTGAACCCGGGGGAAGGAGACGGAGCAGGGCCAGAAAAGAGAGCAGGGTCTGGGTCAGGTCTCTGTGGACGGGCTGTGTGGGAGGAGGCAGATTGGACACTAAGGTGGCCAAACACAGTACCTGAGAGCAACATGGGGTCTTTTTCCAAGGACTTCTTGACATGGTCTGACTCCCCAGTCAGAGAGCTCTCGTCAATCTTGAGGTCATTTCCCTGGATCAGGATCCCATCTGCAGGCAGCAGGTCACCTAGTGTGCAGATGGGAAGGGGCAACAGGGAAAGAGGGGAGGTGAGAGCCTGGCAGAGGGTGGGCACCATCCAAGCCCATCTCAGACCCCCACCGCGAGGCAGGGGCCCAGGGAGTAGCTGGAGAGCCTTTGAAAGACAACTGCAGGTCTGACAACCTGGGATGAGACTATTTTCCAGGTATTATAACTTCAACCAGTTACTGACCCCGAACACCTTCCCATGACCTGAATATTATAGACTTTTAACCCGACGACACATGACCCTGACAGTCTTTTGGGAGAGTTTCAGTTACTTCTTTCTTTGAGTTTCCTTACACAACCACCTTAAATACTAACTTAGCAGCTAACACAATTTGGGGTCATATCTTTTTGGGCCCTCAGCTAAGGACCTGGCCCTCAAGCAGGGAGAGCGGTATCAGTAAGAGAAACACGGAGCCCTCACCGTATTTGATTTGGGCGATGTCACCCACCACGATCTCAGCCACGAGGAGTTGGATGATGTGACCATTTCGGATAACGGAGAATTTCTGTTCCTTTTCAATGCGGTTCTGCAGCCCGCGGAACTGCTTCTCTTTGCTCCAATCGTTGAAGGCCGTCACTAGCACCACGATGATCACCGAGAAGAGGATGGCTGCCCCCTCAATCCAGCCAGCTTCTGCCTCCCCTTCATCTTCTGGGCTACTTATAGGCAGACCACACTCTAGCCCAGGGAAGGAAAGAAAGGATCCTCTAGGGGCTTTTGTTGACATTAAAAATGGGGGAGGGGTACTTCTACAATCCACCAGGATGGAAAGTCAGGGAAAGAGATTAATAAAAAATAAAACTGTTGGGGTGGGGAAAACCTCTTTTTTGCTAAGGGCCATTTGAATATGTATAACATTATTTGTGGACCACACAAAATCTTCAACTTAAAAAGTAGCCTGCTGTATTTGGTCAGACTAACTTGGTGAGGTGTGTGATGTCAGCTGGTATTGATTTTGCGGGCCTCATACAGCCCGCGGGCCAGACGGTCCCCACCCTGCGAGGGTATTGGAAGACAGCAGGATTGGGCATCATCTCATCACCGTATAACTAGTCATGTTAACATCAAAGAAGCAAATGACTACACGGCACAAAACATGTCAATGCAAATTACAGGCAAGTCACACGCAAAGAACTCGAGTCCCAACATGGCCGGGTTCCTACGGCTATGTCCCCAAATGCCAGTACTGTTGGTGTGGGGCACGTTGAGAAGCAGGGTTTTGTTGGCTGGGTGAGGGGAGAGGACTGGTGATATGTTACATGAGGATTTCATGGGAGAAGGGGACAAAGACCCTGGAATCAGAATGGGTTGGAAGACTAGCTCATTAGCTACTTGTTGGTTCCCTTTGCAGAACCCACCCTGAATAACGGGGGAAACGTTGAAGCTATAACCTGTCCACCACTAACACTGAGTGCTTTCTGGTGGTGTTGAAAAGAACCGGGCCGGAGGCCTGCCGGGCTGCTGGAGACACTCACGCTCGTTTTCCTCTCCGTGGGGGCGGTAGAAGGACAGGACCAGGGAGATGATGGCTGCGATCTCCAGGATGATGAGCGTCACATCTTGAAGGGCTTCCCACACTAACTCTAAGAAGGTCTTGGGCTTTTTGGAGGGGATAAGGTTCTGTCCAAATACTTGTTTACGTTTCTCCAGGTCTGCTGGGTTCCCAGAGAGACCTGGAAAGGAGACGGGGCGGGATGGATGAGAAAAGTGGGGAAGAGATGAGCGAGAGAGGGAGCAGTGAAAAGACACCGCCCTTCCCCCCACCCCCACCCCCGCCTGGCTGGTTTGACTCGGCAGTTAGAGTGTCGGCCTGCACACCAAAGGGTCATGGGTTTGATTTCTGGTTATAGGGCATGTACCTGGGTAGTGGACATGGCACGTACCTGGGTTGCAGGTTCAATCCTGGGCCCTGGTCAGGGTGCGTGTGTGAGGCAACCAATTGATGTGTCTCTCTCACCATCAATGTTTCTCTCTCTCTTTCTCCCCCTCCTTCCCTTCTACCCTCTCTAAAATTCAATGGAAAAAAATACCCCTTGCTTCCTGACCTGCCCAAGCATGAGACCAGTTAGGGTAGTCAGCCACCCCAATTTGCCCAGGACTCTGAGACGAGTTGGTCATGGGCTACTCAGTCCTCTTAGTTTCCAGGGTACACTAACCTAGACCTAAACTCCATCTCCTCCTGCGTGTGTGCCAGGCTCCAGCTCCGAGAACACAAACAGTGGAAGTTTCCTGGGACTCACACAGTACTTCTCTCTCCCATTAGCATGTACATGCTGGTGATGACTTTCAGACAGAGTTAGCTGCCGTCCACTGGCTTACACACAAAGGCCAGAAAGAAGAAGCTACCTGCTCACGTCCTGCCAGGAGGCTAGGAGACACAGTCCCACCAGGTGTCCCGATTTCGAGTCTCAGTGGCTCTGAGATGCTAACTTTGGTCATCCCCCCTGGGTACACGCACCCTTTGTTTCCTGTCGCACACCACGAAGAGGGACCACTATCCTATTAAGTACTACGTATTTAGACTAAGTACCAGGTACAAAGAGAAGTGGAATAAAAAGAGAACAAAGCATGTTGGAGCCGCAGAGTCAGACAGTGCACTGTCCTGGAGTACCACGTTGGTACTGTCCTGGTACCACGCTGGTGTGCGTGTGCACACATGTTCTAGGCATGTTCCCAGAGAGAAAGCAGAACCATTCCCAGTGCCCTCCTCAGAGTTAGGCCTCTCTGCTGGGCCCTAGGGGTTTACACTTTAAGGGAAGTGGGGAAATCCTAAAATTTCCATGACTGCCAATTGGCTTTTTCAAGTTGTTGGAACACAACAGCAAATTAGTCCCTTCCTGCCACTTGAAGTTACTGGCTGTACTGCTGGATGGGTTCCCCACAGCAGGGTGGGGCAACCTTTGTCGTGGAAAAAGGTCAGCAGGTGAGGAGGGTTAGAATCAGAGAATGGAGCTCCGAAGAGTGCACAGCAAAGCAGATGAGTCCGACGGGTGTGGCTCAGTGGTTGAGCCTCGACCCGTGCACCAAGAGGTCCCCGGTTCGGCTCCCGGTTGGGGCACATGCCCAGGTTGTGGGCCAAATCCCCAGTGGGGGGCGTGCAGGAGGCAGCCAAATCATGTTCTCTTTCATCGATGTTTCTATCTCTCTCTCCCTCTCCCTTCCTCTCTCTCTAAAATCAGTGAAGGGAAAAGAAAAGGAAAGCAGGTGACGGGCTGCCCAAGGAGAAACGGAGACGCTGACGTCAGCACGCATCTTTAGACCTCACTTCTGCAGACTTTAGTTAATATGCAGGGTGTTCCACTGGCGGCGGGCGGGTGTGCAGCATGAGGGCAAACACTACTCTCACCTCCACTGCACAGGACCCAAGAGTGTTACCTTAAATAGCAAGAGGGAAGATGTGGGTGAGATTTAAGGAAGACTTTCAGACAAAAAAAGATTTTGAAAAGGGAGTATTGTTTGCAGGGTCTGAGACAGCCTCCACGTCTCTGTCCTAAAAACAAAACCTTGAGGAGAGGTACACGAGACACTCATCTGTCTGGAAAGGTAGATTCGGGACCCTGCCTGGAGGTAAGATGGGAAGCGAAATGGCACCCACACTTGGGGAGTCGGACTAGAGAACACTCCACAGGCTAGTGTTTGGGAGAGGAAAACAGGGAGCTGGTGGGGAGAGTGGTCCCCAGTGTTCACGTCCCCAGCCTCCTGCCTCCTAGTGCCCGACTGCACCAGCCTGGCCTCCGGCTGGGGGCTCCGCTGAGCTCTGCAGGGGAGCAGGTATGGCAAAAGCATTAGGGCAAGTGGGGCTGCTTCCCAGAGGCCCCTCCCTCCACCCCTGAGAAGTGGGGTTCCCAGCGGGAAAGGAAAGCGAGGGCCTGGGAAACAGTGTTCCTGGGCAGGGCATGGTGACCCCCAGGCAGCAGAGGCTGAGCGGCCAGGGGGCAGGGCCTGGCTGGCTCTTTCTCCCCAGGGACCCGCGGTAGCAAGGCTGTGCCAAGTCGGGACTGCTGGGCTGCAGGGTCAGGTTTGCTTGAGGGAATAGGAGTTCTGACTGTTTGTCCATCTACTTGGGATGTTTCTCAAGGAAGCGGGATTCGCAATGTAAAGGGATTCACCGTGTAAAGAGGCAGCAGTCCCCTCCTGAACAAGAGTGAGTATACATGATATGAAGCCAACCGTGGCATCAGATATTACAGATCATCATAAGGAACGTCACAATAGCTTATGAAGGCTCAACCACCACCACCCCAACCATCACCAGCACCCCAACAACTACCACCACAACCATCACCACCACCACCCCAACCACTACCACCACAACCATCACCAGCACCCCAACTACCACCACCACCACCACAACCATCACCAGCACCCCAACAACTACCACCACAACCATCACCAGCACCTCAACAACCACCACCACCACCACAACCATCACCAGCACCCCAACAACTACCACCACAACCACAACCATCACCAGCACCCCAACAACTACCACCACAACCATCACCACCACCACCCCAACCATCACCAGCACCCCAACTACCACCACCACCACCACAACCATCACCAGCACCCCAACAACTACCACCACAACCATCACCACCACCACCCCAACCATCACCAGCACCCCAACTACCACCACCACCACCACAACCATCACCAGCACCCCAACAACTACCACCACAACCATCACCAGCACCTCAATAACCACCACCACCACCTCAAACACCACCACCCCAACCACCACCACAACCATCACCAGCACCCCAACAACTACCATCACAACCATGACCAGCACCCCAGCTACCACCACCACAACCACAACCATCACCAGCACCTCAACAACCATCACCACAACAGCAACCACCACCACAACTAAAGTTTAGCTAAAAGCACCCCATCTGAGTAGCCTTATCCGTCCCTGTTCTCATATTGCTGCCTTGTCATCATTCTTGACTCCTTTCTCTCTCATCCACTCTATCCATTTAGTCAGGAAATCCGGTCAGCTTTACCTTCAAAATATATCCCAGGTCCACTCATTTCTCCTTTTCCTCTGCTACCACCCCAGCCTGAGCCAGCATCATCTCTTGCCTGGATTATTACAACTATCTTCTAACTGGTCTCCTTGCCTCCTCCCTTACTTTCCTGTTCTTACTCTCTTAACAGAGTAGCCAGAATGAGATTCTTCAAACCCAACTCATGACACTTACCTACCTACTCAGAATCCTCTGGCGGCTTTTACTTGGAGTGAAACTGGGCACTAAGGACCGTAGGAGGGCCAATAAAGTCCCTTAGGAGCCCCCAAACCCCGACTCCGTAACTCCTACCATCTTCCGCTTGGTCACTGAGACCCCAGCCACGCTAGCCTTTCTACCAGTCTCCGAACGCACTAGACACGCTTCTCTTCCGGGCCCTGTTCCCTTTGCTCGGATTCCTCTTCACTGGGTAGGGTCCACTCTCCCACCTCCTTCAGAGGTGGACTGAAGGTCAACTGTACAAAGTTGACCTTCGGGAGGCCTGCCCTGAGCACTGTATTTAACATTACTTCTCTGCCCCCTTACCCGCTCACCGGTTCCCTCTGTGGGTCTTCTCCCCTAATATATGATAGAATGTATCCATTTATCCTTTGTCTATCCCCCTCCACAAGGGCAGAATTTTTGTCTTTGTTCCTTTTGTTCCTTCCATCTACAGCAGTGCCTGGCATGTGACACGCATACAAATTTGTCAAATGAGTGGAATGAATGCGGAATAAATAAGTTTGCTAACATCTAAGTGACCATTGTGTCCGATGCTTCGCTAGGTACATTCACGTTTTCTCGTGTGAACATTATAAACAGTGGCTTCTATTAACCCCATTTTACATATAAGCGAGCTGAGACCTGGGGAATTATGCAAGTACTCGAGCCTAGTGTGTGACAGTGGCAACACCATGCCACAGGGAGCAACTGGATGCCAACCTGCACAGAGGGGCCAGGGCGGAGAGGCAGCTGCCCTCAGCTGGGGCTTCATTCCAGTGCCACTGACTTGTCTGGGTTTGCCTGCAACTTTCTGGGCTCTGGCAGTGAAGCTCCTGCCTCCTGAGAATGCCCCGAGAACACCCCCTGAGTCCCAGGCAGCCAGGGAGGGCTGGCCACCCTGCTCCATTCACCGCAGGGCAGTTCCCCGAGCTGCTCTCCTCCGTGTCTCTGAGCAGACCAGCCCGTTCCCTCTGTTTACAATCGGGGTGGACCAGTTCTGCCCTCGGCGATGGTGATACCAGGCTTGTGAGGGTCCAACCTATACATTTTGTAGGCAATAAAAGGTTCATTCTGGCCTTTTTTGGACCCAAGCAAATGAAACAAGAAATAGTATGGGAAACAAAAAAAGGTGAGGCCTTGCTCTTGCCTAGATGTCCTCAGTCACACACTCGGTTCCTTTTTGCCATTTTCTCTCATCTGTGTGCTCCACCTTAAGTCCTTCTAAGTTCTTCAATAGCTACCTTAAGAAGCCATGTGGCCGGCCCAGTTCCCAGCATGCCCTGTGGCGGGGAGGGGCAGGCTGGGCAGTTAGCATAGTAGCCTTGGGAATCCTCCCTCAGACCTGTGGCATGGCCAGGAAGCCATGTGGGGCTGGGAGCGTGGCCAAACCCCGATTCTGGGCTTTCCATTCCAATTCTCCCTGCCCCTGAGAGGCTGTC